TTGCCCAATTTTGCTAAAAATGTGAGGTTAAGCCCTTACAATCTGCAATTTTTGAGAAACATCTGATTTTGCCCTAGTTTGGCAAGGTTAATCCATTACAATTTTTTATTTTTTATTTAAATTTGATTTGGTCCAATTTTGCTAAAAATGCAAGGTTAACCCTTTACAATCTGAACTTTTCCAGAAACCTGTGATTTTGCCCTATTTTGCTAAAAAAAATCAATGGTTAATCCCTTACAATTTGAAATTTTCCATAAACATCTGATTTTGCCCTATTTTGCTAAACAAAATGCAATCTTAACCCCCTACAATTTGAAATTTTTCATAAACATCTAATTTTGCCAAATTTCACTAAAAAAGGTAAGGTTAATTCCTTACATCGGATTTTTTTCCAGAAACATCTGATTTTGCCCAATTTTGCTAAAAATGCAAGGTTAACCCCTTTCAATCTGCAATTTTTTTCATAAACACCTGATTTTGCCCTAATTTGGCAAAGGTTAACCCCTTACAATTTGAAATTTTTCATAAAAATATCATTTTGCCCAATTTTGCTAAAATGCAAGGTTAACCCCTGGCCTTTCAATCTGCAATTTTCTAGAAACTTCTGATTTTGCCCTAATTTGGCAAAGGTTAACCCCTTCATATTTTTGATTTTTCATACAAATCTGATTTTGCCCTATTTTGCTAAAAAATGCAAGGTTAAACCCTAAAAATTCGAAAAGCAAGGTTAACCCCTTACAATTTGAAATTTTTCAGAAACATCTCATTTTGTCCAATTTTGCTAAAAATGCAAGGTTCACCCCTTACAATTCGAGATTTTACATAAAAATCTGATATTGCCCAGTTTTGCTAAAAATGCCAAGTTAACCCCATACAATTCTGCAATTTTCCAGAAAGATCTGATTTTTCCCAATTTCGTTTAAAAAACCCCTTACAATTTGAAATTTTTCATAAACATCCAACTTTGCCAAATTTCACTAAAAAAGCAAAGTTAACCCCTTTCAATCTGCTATTTTCCAGAAACATCTGATTTTGCCCTAATTTGGCAAGGTTAACCCCTTACAATTTTTGATTTTTCATACAAATCTGACTTTGCCCAATTTTGCTAAAAATGCAAAGTTAACCCCTTAAAATCTGAAATTTTCCATTTACACCTGATTTTGCCCTATTTTTCAAAAAAATGCAAGGTTAACCCCTGACAATTTGAAATGTTTCATACACATCTTATTTTGCCAAATTTCACTAAAAAAGCAAGGTTAACCCTTACAATCTGAAATTTTCCAGAAAGATCTGATTTTGCCCAATTTCGCTAAAATATGCAAGGTTCAACCCTTACAATTTGAAATGTTTCATAAACATCTAACCCCATACAATTTGCAATTTTCCAGAAACATCTGAATTTTCCCAATTTTGATAAAAATGTAAGGCTAACTCCTTGCAAACTGTTCAATCAATACATGAAGTGTCCCATTAGACTTTTTTTTAAACAAATTATATTTCCAGTTTTTAGGGTAAAGGAATTTTCTCTTTTTCCTTTCTCTTTTGTTGTTGCTATATTGTGCGAATTAACTCATTCGTATGGAATGCTCATAGTCAATCAAAGAATATTTCACACATAGGGGCCTAAATAATATTTTTTAAATTTAATAGAGACGCAATGATCGTGCTATCATATACCATTCTATTACTATTGCGAATTACTGTATTGTTTGGAACGCTCACAATTAAAGACACGTTATTTGAAAGATGTATAAATAATATTTATATTACAATGTACATCTTTATTCTTTCCCGGTATAATTCATGGCGTTTCTTACGTCAATTGGCAATCGCGTCATTATATAATGATAGTCAAATTGATCAAACGAAACTCCGTTTTGATTATACATTGTAGTCAATTATGAAATAATCATTGATTTATGACATACACCTTTGTTTCAATTTTGATACTACCCGTAGACCTGCCGAGCAGCTGTAGATATCAAACTTAACCAAAGTATAAAAGATAGAGGGTAAAAAAAATCAAAAAGTTATGTGCTAGTCAAGCTTTCAGGGATCGGTCTGAGCCATAACAATGCCCCAGCCGATCCCTTAGTTCTCTTCCGGGGTCTCGGCGTCCCCGACCAATACACACTTCCTTCCCTATCCATCCATATAACCCCGGAGGGCCAGGCACCATGTAAAAGCAAAGAGCTAAGGGAGGAACAGGGCGGCCCCTAAGCCCTGATCCTCCGAGTGGACCACATGCCCTGAACCTGTACGAAGGCGCCAACCTGGAACTCGCGGACAGTACCAGCAGCAGTGCTTACCGATTAAGCTAAGGTACTGTTGGTACTTTACGACGGGAAATTAAATCTCTTATAGTAAATGATTGAACTCATACGTTAAAAACCAAAAAGACACCAGCGGGATTCGAACCCGGGACCCCGCTAACTGTGGACGACGAATTGTAACCACTCGGCCATTTCGTTACCTTAGAATTTTCCTTAAACTGAGAAAAGTTGTCTTTATAGGTGAGCAAACGCGCCAGGAAGATTACTGGGTCCATTTGCTTTACCTTAATGGGTAAAAACAAGCCGATATAATGAGCCCAGTGTGTTTGGTTTGTTAGGAAGCTGCATAACACAGCCTAATGTGCAAAACAGTCGTGTGCTAGGCGGATCATTACGCAACAATGAACACCGCAATTGTGTATTTTCAAAAGGCAGACGCGTAGATTTCTACTCTTTGTATCTGGGCACATATAAATTCTCACCTCCCTCTTCAGCTATTTTGACTTTCTTAAAAAGAAAAATAGAGACTGTCAGCGAATCTCCGGGAGTTGAAATAAGGATCGTTCCCTCGATAGACCTCAGACTCAGTAAAGTTCAACATTGGGCTCTTTTTCAACAGCTGTTTTTGCGGAAACTTTACATCTGGATTTTTTTAGAAGCATCTGATTTTGCCCAATTTTAGTAAAATATGCTCCAAATTTTGCTAAAAAAGCAAGGTTAACCCCCTTACCATTTTAGATTTTTCATACAAATCTGATTTTGCCAAATTTTACTAAATATACAAGGTACACCTCTTACAATTTAAAATTTTTCATAAACATTTCCTTTTGCCCAATTTTGCTAGAAATACAAGGTTAAGCCCTAACAGTCTGCAATTTTCCAGAATCATCTGATTGTGTCCTATTTTGCTAAAAAAAATGCAAGGTTAACCCCTTACAATTTGATTTTTTTTCATGAACATCTAATTTTTCCCAATCTTATTCAAAAAGCATGGTTAACCCCTTACAATCTGCAATTGTCCAGAAACATTTGATTTTTTCCCATTTTCGCTTTGAAAAAATGCGAGGTTAACCCCTTTCAATTTGAAATTTTTCGTAACATCTAACTTTGCAAAATTTTACTAAAAAAGCAAGGTTAATCCCTTACATCTGAAATTTTTCGGAAACATCTGATTTTGCCCAATTTCGCTTAAATATACAATGTTCACCACTTACAATTTGAAATGTTTCATAAACATCTAACCCCATACAATCTGCAATTTTCCAGAAACATCTTTTTTGTCCCGATTTTGCTAAAAAAAATGCAAGGTTAACCCCTTACAATTTGATTTTTTTTCATAAACATCTAATTTTGCCCAATTTTACATCAGGTAACTGGATCATTAAACGGGACAGGTGCACATCGGCCTTGGAGCTCAGGCCATGTGTTATGCACTCCTCAATGCATAGATGATGCACATAACACTATGGGTAGTACAGGCACAGCTGGGGGTACTGCCCAAACAATGATGAACGCATTGCGTATGCTTAAAGAATTACCCACAATTCCGGTTTTTACCGTTTAGGTCTGGCTCTAATCACTTTACGCGATCCCCTGACGTCTCATACACTGACTTTAGGCAAAATAGTCAGACTTTCGCGGTCTAGTAACCAGACTTTGACTCTTAACGAAACATCGAATGAAAAGGGAAACATCAAATGCATATTGCAAAAGATCGAATGCAAACATACCGATGAAACATCGAATACAAATAGCTCGAAATGTCAAACATATGTGTAAAACATTGCTCACATATAGAATATCGCAAATATATTGTAAAACAACACACACAATTGTATCGAAAAACATCACACATTTAATGCAAAAAATCGAACATAATATTGAAAACATCGCACATATATATCGTCAAAAACATCGCACATATAAATTGAAAATCGCATATAAATGTAAAACATCGCACACATATATTGAACATCGCACATATATTGTAAAACATCGCACAAATATATTAAACATCGCGCAAATAATGAAAAACATCGCACACTTATATCGAACATCGCACATAAATGTAAAAGATAACAAACACATATTGAACATCCAACATATATATTGCAAAATATTGAATATTGCAACGTTTGACACGCCATAGCAAATCACACAAAATTATGGGGGTTTTCGAAACCATTGCTTGTCACCGGTTCGGCTTTATCTCCGACTTCTGAATCACTGGGAAGCAAACCAAACAGAAATATTCTAACCGTTGGCCTAATTTTATACAAATGTTCCTAAAGCAGACAATGCTCCAAAATTTAGCCAGAGTACCCAAAATCGGGGGCCTAAAATCTCCTTAAGACACAGATGAAACGAAGCCGAGATTTCGAAATAGCGACCCTTATTAAAATATCGGCCCTTCCAGCTGTGGCTTTTCCTTAATCATGAAACCATTTTCATTGAGTTACTTTCAAACCAAATTAAGCGAATATGGATGATACGATTTGATATTGCTGTAAAAGAAAAGGAAGTCACGACCACTGTGAGTCACATACATACATGAACATGTAACTCATCTGGAAACTTGAGTCTTAAGGCGAAGCTGCTACGAAGCCGAAGTCAAATAAATGGTAAAAATTAGTTCGTTGACCTTTGGCACGTGTAGAAATGTCAACATAATAATAAGGAGCGTGCTCCCAGACGTGTTCAACGTGTTTTCAACGACGAAAACAACACTTTTTGTTGGTATCCAGCTACTACACATTGTATGTACGATCTTTTAGATCTCGGCGAAGGAACCGAGCAAGCATGGCATCGAACTCGGAAACAAACAGCGAAGACACTTCGCAATCCGGCGAAGCGGAAGAAGTTATGGAAGTTGTGGACCCAGATAACAGCGACATCGAAGAATCAGATGGGGAGGGTGGCGATAAGAGGGTTTATCTACCCGGAGATCCGCTCGACGAAGGAGAGATGTTAGTCCGTGATGAAACCGCATACCACATGTATCATCAAGCGCAGACAGGTACTTCTTGCCCAGTTCTCGGACACTTGACACAATTTCATTACAACTTAATACAAGCCTGTTTATAATGTCAGTTCCATAAAATAGTAACTTATTATGCCCCGCGGCGAAGCCGAAGGGGCATACTGTTTCCGCCTTGTCCTTCCGTGGGTGGGTGGGTGGGTGGGTGTGGGGTGTGTGTGTGGGTGAGTTTGTCTTACATACGCAGTGTGGACTTCCGAACAAAAGACGTCCACATAATGTAGGTAGCACCGACGTTGTGTGGACTTACCCCACGTCCACACAGTGTTTCCCCATTTCTGGAAAACAGGTTTAGAGGCATTTTTGGGTTAGGTTGAAGAGAAACACTAAAGGGAGTCATAGAAAAAAAATTGGGTTGAAAGAGTTTTCACAGTTTGAGAAAAATGAGTTTTTTCACTGTTTTTCTTAACTACACGAAAGCAATGGAAAGTCCACACTAGTCATGTGAAACAAGTATGTGTGTGGGTGGGTGGGTGTGTGTGTCCGGACATATCTTGTCAGCACGATAACTTGAGAAATACTTAACATATGAACTTCAAATTTGGTCTGTGTATTGTTCTTGGTAATCCTAAGAGGCCTATTGCATTTGGGGCCGAAAGGTCAAGGGTCAAGGTCACAGTGGCTGAAACAATAGAAATTTTGTCAGCGCGATAACTTGAGAAATACTTTACATATGAACTTCAAATTTGGTTTGTGGATTGTCCTTGGCAATCCTGAGAAGCCTTTTGCATTTGGGGCCGAAAGGTCAAGGGTCAAGGTCACAGTGGCTAAAACAAAAGAAATTTTGTCAGCGTGATAACTTGAGATATACTTTACATATGAACTTCAAATTTGGTTTGTGGATTGTCCTTGGCAATCCTAAGAGGCCTTACAGTGGCTAAAACAAAAGAAATTTTGTCAGTGTGATAACTTGAGATATACTTTACATATGAATTTCAAATTTGGTTTGTGGATTGTCCTTGGCAATCCTAAGAAGCCTATTGCATTTGAGGCCGAAAGGTCAAGGGTCAAGGTCACAGTGGCTAAAACAAAAGAAATTTTGTCAGCGCGATAACTTGAGAAATACTTTACATATGAATTTCAAATTTGGTTTGTGTATTGTTCTTGGTAATCCTAAGAGGCCTATTGCATTTGGGGCCGAAAGGTCAAGGGTCAAGGTCACAGTGGCTGAAACAATAGAAATAGGTGTGTGTGTCCGGACAAATCTTGTCAGCACGATAACTTGAGAAATACTTAACATATGAACTTCAAATTTGGTCTGTGTATTGTTCTTGGTAATCCTAAGAGGCCTATTGCATTTGGGGCCGAAAGGTCAAGGGTCAAGGTCACAGTGGCTGAAACAATAGAAATTTTGTCAGCGCGATAACTTGAGAAATACTTTACATATGAACTTCAAATTTGGTTTGTGGATTGTCCTTGGCAATCCTGAGAAGCCTTTTGCATTTGGGGCCGAAAGGTCAAGGGTCAAGGTCACAGTGGCTAAAACAAAAGAAATTTTGTCAGCGTGATAACTTGAGATATACTTTACATATGAACTTCAAATTTGGTTTGTGGATTGTCCTTGGCAATCCTAAGAGGCCTATTGCATTTGGGGCCGAAAGGTCAAGGGTCAAGGTCACAGTGGCTGAAACAATAGAAATTTTGTCAACGCGATAACTTGAGAAATACTTTACATATGAACTTCAAATTTGGTTTTGTGGATTGTCCTTGGCAATCCTGAGAAGCCTTTTGCATTTGGGGCCGAAAGGTCAAGGGTCAAGGTCACAGTGGCTAAAACAAAAGAAATTTTGTCAGTGTGATAACTTGAGATATACTTTACATATGAATTTCAAATTTGGTTTGTGGATTGTCCTTGGCAATCCTAAGAAGCCTATTGCATTTGAGGCCGAAAGGTCAAGGGTCAAGGTCACAGTGGCTAAAACAAAAGAAATTTTGTCAGCGCGATAACTTGAGAAATACTTTACATATGAATTTCAAATTTGGTTTGTGTATTGTTCTTGGTAATCCTAAGAAGCCTATTGCATTTGGGGCCGAAAGGTCAAGGGTCAAGGTCACAGTGGCTGAAACAATAGAAATTTTGTCAGCGCGATAACTTGAGAAATACTTTACATATGAACTTCAAATTTGGTTTGTGGATTGTCCTTGGTAATCCTAAGAAGCCTTTTGCATTTGGGGCCAAAAGGTCAAGGGTCAAGGTCACAGTGGCTAAAACAATCGAAATCTTGTATTTATTCTGAGATCATAGGGATTAGGGATTAATTCATATAAAACCTACAGAAGACACTAATGCTGTCAATGAACATTCCATGTGACCAAGGTACATGTAAGTTGATGTTAAAAGAGTGGTGTTATGTCATGGGAACAGTCACGGTTGCGGGGCATTTGTGTTTGTAAACACACCTGACTTGTTTTTTAAGTTAAATTCATCATTTAACTTTGCCAGTGCGAACTGTTTTTCTTTTTCCTAAAGAACAAGTTGTAACATACTTGAATCAATCATTGTCAATTTCCATCAGTTTTATTGTTAATGTGTTATTTTTGCTTGACCAAGGATGGCAGGCCCAACCTACTGTCAACAGATGCAGATTGATTGATTGATTGACTGAGTCACTGATTATTAACGTTGTCTTAATTTGCTGTCAAACTTTCAGATCCAGCTTGACTAGTCAAGCCTAGTCTTTTTCTTTTCTTTTTAAGGGGGGGATGTTTTTGTTCTGTTTTGTTTTGGGTTATTAATTTTCTATATTAGTATTTGACAATGTTTGATGATGATAATTTTTATTGCAGGTGCACCATGCCTCAGTTTTGATGTTCTTAGAGACAGTCTCGGGGAGAACCGTACAACTTATCCCCACACACTTTTTGCCGTTGCTGGTAAATTTGAAATTTGATAATATCACAAGCACTTTGTTTCATTCATGAAAAATAATTGTTCTGTTGATGGTTATTAAAATCAACATGTTAATTTTGTGTATTTTGATCCATATTCCCCATAATCTAAAATAAATCTCCCAAAACTTCACTTATCACTTTCTGTAGGCCTACTAATGAAGTTTTTATAGTACTTTATGGTACATTTCTATTACAAAAACCTCATTAGCCATGACCCACCATAAATTAAACCTAAGATGTGACTTTACTGGTTCTCAGGCACCCAGGCTGAGAAAGCCCATCTGAACAATGTCATTGTCATGAAGATGACAAATCTGCATCGTACCAGCCAAAAAGACGATGATGATGACAGTGATGAGGACAGTGACAGCGATGACGAGGATAGCAAACCAGAACTGGAGACAGCGATGATGAAACATCTCGGCTCTGTTAACAGAATAAGGGTAAGCTTTCTTGAGTGAGATACGGTCTGGGGGGTTGCAGTAAGTGCAGATGAGGTGACTCTACCACCTCACCTCTTCAAATTCAAGCTTCTGTTTGCATACTGAATTTACCTAACTTTGACCTTCTCATAACGCTGTAAGTAAAGGTCAAGTGACTTCACTTTTACAACAAAACATTTTTAAAACAGGTAGCAAATCCTGTAGAGAGGGTAAATTTTGTGTTAGGGAACAAGAAGCATGAGTCTAGCTGAGCATATCTAATAATAATATCTATAAAACAAGCTGTGCCACCTGACAACGGGTGTATCAAGTGAGGAAGGAGAGAGTAATGGAGAGGGAGAGAATGGTGTAGGATACTCTTATTTAGTAAACAAGTTGGCTTTTCATACAGACTAAACTGCATCGTTTAGCTTCTGATGACAGCATTGTATAGCCCAGTTGGCATTTGTCTATTTCTTTCTTCTTTGTTTTTTAGATTTTACCGAGGCGATGGTAAAAAAAAAAATCACACTACGTTTTCGGCACCTGAGTTGCTCCTTGTTATTCATCGCTTGATTTGATTTGATTTGTTTTTACAGAGCACAGAAATTGGGCAGAAGCAAGTGGCAGCCACTTGGTCAGACACTGGCGCGGTCCACCTGTGGGACTTAAGCGGCGCCCTCCAGGCTGTAGGTAACGCCCAGCTCATGGGACGATTCATGAGACAGGAATCCCACAAGCCTTTGTTCACGTTCACAGGTCACCAGATTGAAGGATTTGCCATGGACTGGTGTCCTACTACACCAGGTATGCTGTTACATTCTCAACTAAAAAAAAAGTCTGAAATATCTTGGCTAGGGGTCGAAATGTTAAGTTGCTTATCAGTTTGTAGAATTTTAGTTTGGCCAATAAATGGCACTTCCATGCGTATTTACAACAACATTGCAACATACAAAAAGCTCTGATATATGTATTTGATGCTAAAAGACAACTGCACAACATTAATTTTAACTTTTAATACTCAACCACACACACCACCCAAATCATCACTTGATTTGTAAAATTGCAGAATTTCTGGTGAAATTAAGAGGAACCTTGTTAAGGGGTTTAGTCAGCATGACAAAGTTGGGTGTAAAATTTGCCCTGTATGGAAAAAGAGAGTGCACAAACTGCTTATTTATTTATGCTTTTAAATGCATAATTTGCATAACAAAGTGGGTGTCCAAAATTGCCAATAGGGTGTCTAGAAGATCCTAGACACGTCGTCTGCTTAAACTGTGATCCAAGTAAAAATAACCCACAGTGTTGGAATTGAAATGTAATCCTTTCCCTTTTTTTCAGGAAATCTGATTACTGGAGATTGTCGGAGAAATATCCATTTGTGGAAGTTACAAGAAGGAGGGGAGTGGTATGTAGACCAGCGACCCTATGCAGCTCACACGGAGTCAGTGGAGGATTTACAATGGTCACCAACTGAGAAAAATGTAGGCATATTAAGTATAAATTCCTCTGGAAAATAGCCCTTTAAATCAATAATCCAAGTAAACAATATCCCATCCGTAATGAAGTTAATCAGCAAATACTCGAACAATGAGCTTTCTCTTTTAACAACAAATTTTGTTTTGTTTAATACATGTAAAGGTTTTTGCATCGTGTTCTGTCGACAAAAGCATCAGAATTTGGGATGTTCGGGCGACGCCAAGCAAAGCATGCATGATAATGATGGAAGAAGCACACAGCAGCGACGTAAACGTCATCCACTGGAACCAGAAAGATCCTTTCATCCTGTCTGGAGGTGATGATGGTGTCTTGAATGTCTGGGACTTGAGACAATTCCAGGTAAGATGGATCCAAGATGGATCCAAGATGGATCCAAGATGGATCCAAGGTTCTTGCAGGCAAGAGACGCTATAAACCAAACATAATTTACAATTACCATTACTTTTTTCACGATGAAAGTCAGTATTCCACAAAAGTGTTCATTGCACCTTAGCTTATAAGCCTGAAGAAATCTGTGGAAATATGACAAAGAAACATTCAGTTTTAAATGTGGGAGGAAAACGCTGGAAAATATTCTGGAGGAAAAATCTGCAGAATCAGAAAGGGACTGACGACCATACCTACATTATAAGATGGAATTTTTGCGCCGGGGTGATATAAATCAAATTAGGTTTTGCCCTTCACCGACGTTTTTTTATTTATATCACCCCGGCGCAAAAATTCCATCTTATAATAGTTTATGCGGTACCCGCTGCTATGTACATCAGATTCGAACCGGCCAACCGATCCCGTTAGCTCGGTGGTCGAGTGGTAAGATATCTGCACTAGAAAGCAGGAGGTCGTGGGTTCGAGTCCCACCCGAGTGATTTTTCCAACTTTCACTCGGGAGGTAACACACTGAGTATACAGTGTTTAAAACGTCGGTGAAGGGCAAAACCTAATTTGATTCATACCTACATTTGCCTTTTTGAGATTTAGTGGACACAATACGAGGGTGCTATTTAGTTTGCTTAAACACTCTTGCATTTACCCAAATTCACTCAAACTAAATAACACTCCCTTATTGTATCTGCCGTATCTCAACAAGCTAACATGGGCCTGGGTTAGATTCGAACCTGGGTCAAAGTTTGCAAGGGAAGGCAAGGAAATCTCACTTGCCTACCCACTGAGTGCTTGCACAACCCCTTTTTCACTACCCCCTTCAAGTTCTCCTGAGTACTGTATAAAAATGTCCCCAAACTTCAACAGAAAGTCAATCAGATTTGCTATGAAATGGTGGAAAATGTGGCAAGTATCAATGTACAGGCATACAAATTGTCATGAATTTCATTACATTTTAAAACAATCACTGTTTTTTGTTTGTTTCTTTGTTTAAATATTTAATAATATTTCTTTGTTTATCTCTCTCTCTCTCTTTCTTTCGCCTTCAGAAAAAGGGTCCCCCTGTCGCCAAGTTCAAGCACCACACTGGGCCCATCACGTCAGTGGAGTGGAACCCCGTGGACAGCACAGTCTTCGCATCAGCAGGCTCTGATGACCAGGTAACCCTCTGGGACCTATCGCTGGAACGAGAACGTGAGACAGTGATGGAAGGCCAGACTGGGGGGTCCAGGCTTGATGACATAGCCCCACAGTTGCTGTTTGTGCACCAGGGGCAGAGCGACATCAAAGAAATTCATTGGCACCCACAGATCTCTGGTGTCATTATCAGCACGGCTCACAGCGGGTTCAATATATTCAAGACTATCAGTGTTTAACCCGTTACTCCCTGTCCTGCCCAAAACCGCCCTGCCTGTCACTCCGTGCCCCGCCCTAAAACCGCCCTGCCTGTTATTACCAGTCCCACCACAAACTGCCGTGCTTGTTAAACCGCCCTGCCTGTCACTCCCTGCCCCACCCCAAACCTCCCAGTACTTATGAATTTATGGATTCATCAGGAGATAAACACAATGCAATGCAATACGGTGCAGGTGCAAAGGGTGAATGCTCGGGGTGAGTGAGGAAAACAGACCCCAGCGGCTGTTACTATGCATGGGGGGTTGATACTCCTTGAAATACAAAGAATAAGACATCTGTTTCTGCTCAGTGGAGGATTTTAAAGGATTCAGGAGCGTTCCTTTCCAAAAGATGCCTTACGGTTAAAGACATTAGGATTTATACAATTTAACACAGATGAAAAAACTTTGATACGCTGGAGACTTGAGATTAGCCCTTTCATGGTGGATCTTCATTAAACTAATTTATTGTGAGGGGTTTGTTTTTAAAAGAAAATTTGAACATTTGGGGGAATTTATAGGAACAATTTTAAAAGATGTCTTGAAATGGTTTCTATTTCATAACTTATAACAGTTCTATGCTAAAAAAGGAAAGAAAAATCTTGAAAGTCCTTTTTGGATTTGACAAAAGAGTGAACATTCAAAAGAAATTTCAAAATATTTAATTTTAAATTTGTGATAAACACACAAGTTTTAACAACTTGAATTATATATTCAACACGTGTTTTGGAAAACTACTTTTTTGATGAGTTATGACACCCATATAAAGAAACCAACAGTACAGAGGTTTCTTTGCTGGAAATTGTTTTATTTATTGTAAAAAAAATTTTTTAAATATACACATTACCAATGGCAATTGAATAATGCACAATAAATACTTTCCAAATTGTTCATTTGAAAGTGTTTCTGATATTGCCTTATAAAGATGCACATAAAAATTGGAAAACAAAATTGCTTTCGTCTTTATGATTTCATGGATGAAATAATAGATATTAGGTGCACTCAAAATGAAATTGAATTTATCCTCTTGATTTCTGGAATGTATTCACACACCTTATTCCCAAACTATGATGATGTAATCAAATGTGATCCGCTCTGGTTAAAAGCAGCCCCTTGTCTCAAAATTCACAAAATGAGTTATCATAACATGGTTGGAAAGCCTGATACAATTACGCCCCATTCAATGTTACTGCACTTTATCCTGATCACCATAACTGTGTGGTAAATCTGGAAATATACGTAAATATACAAAACACAAAACCAAATTGTTGGTTTTTCGCACTAAACATCTCCTCCCTCACTGCACTGCCCAGAAAAATGAATTGTCGACGGCGCCTGACACTCCCATGATGATAATGCAGATTTGTGCGGATTCAGAATGAAATTAGCAGTGCGTACTTATTACAATAGACACGCGAACCATTGTACTTCCTACAATACGTGTGAACCTGTGTATGCACACCCTATCTCCCTCGATGGAGCTATCAGGATTGGTTGAAGTGCCCTCTACTGTTCCTGCTCACAGTCCATAGCCCTGAAGAAGAGACTTGGACACATCACCATTTGATAGTCAATGCATTGTTCATCTTCTCCACTGCGTGGTACGCTGTCTCCAACATAGCGTGGGCTTTCTCAGTGTCTGCCCCTCCCAGCCAATCAGAGACCAGCTGGTCCAGTAGCGGGTTGTCCTCCGGTCTCCTGGTGTTGAGGGAGTTGTAGAGTGCCTCCACGCGGGGCAAGAGTTCCTTGGGTTGCTCCCCGTCTTGTGGGCGGATCTGACCCCCACCATTCACACAGCCTGGTCACACAGAAAAGTGTACATGTATTTATATTACCAATGTTTATGGAAGAACTAAAGACTGTTTTTTTTCAGTTTAACGGTTGCTCATTTTAGAAATCTTCAACCATGAAATTCGGGAGCTATGGGGGGTGGGTGTTATAGCCACAAGTTTGATATAGTGCTGGTTGTTACAGCAGTGATCTACTGTTTATATATTGCTCAAAGTCTCTCACACAGCATTGAGCGTATACATGTTGAGCTCAATACAAAATATCCCTTGTCAGGGGCAAAGCTTTAGGTATGAAAATACAAAGTGTGACATTTACCAGATGGGCAAGCCATGACCTCCACAAAGTGATACGGAGACCGCCCTCGCTTGACCTTCTGCACCAGGTTCTGGATATTCCTAAAGCCGTAGGCAAGGGCAAACTTGAGTTTGATTTCACCATCCACTTCCAATGTGGCCTCTCTGAAGTCTTTGTTCCTTTCGGTGAAAAAAACAAACAAGCACAAACATTTCAGTGTTCCTTTATGTTTCAATGCTGGGTATGTGTATGGTGGTTGGGTTTGCGACTCATAATCAGGGGTTCAATCCTGCTGCTGGCCATATGTTGTGTCCTTGGGCGAGCCACTGCACCTCTCTATCGGGAGGTTTATATTTCTTGTAAATATGTTAAGTATAAACAAAACATTTCACATCGAAATCTTTCAAGCCAAAGTTTGCCAGAGTTTGAATGTGTTCAAATTTAGCAACTCGCAGACTGAACACCTTGACGTCGCAAGTTTTCCAAAGTATTCCCTTTCTCTTATTGCATAATTACAAGGTTAATGACCACTTACTTCAGAGTCTTGTACTCAATGTGTTCTACACTGACTCCATATAACTCCTGGGCAGCGTATCTGAATATGTGTTCCAGGTATCCACCAGACCCACCACCGATGTGATTCACTAACTGTCCATCCCTGGATACAGGGAACATGGGATCTAGATCCTGGGGTTGCATATCAGCTAGCGAGAGTCCCTCTTTGTCAAGCATCACTTCAACTTCTCCTACACAAAAAAAAAACATATTTAAACAAATCTGATTCTAACAGTTGTAATCTTGTCAATTGTAATATCCCAAGTCTGGTCACAAGTTAAAGGGGATGACTTGGGAGCGGATGACTTGTGATGTGACTTGCGACTGACTTGTGACTGACTTGTGATTGATTTGTGACTGACTTGTGATTAACTTGTGATTGACTTGTGATTAATTTGTGACTAACTTGTGATTGACTTGTGATGGTCTTCTGACTGACTTGGGTTTGACTTGTGATTGACTTGTAACTGACTTGTGATTGTCTTGTTATGGACTTGTGACTAGCTTGTGATTGACTTGTAACTGACTTGTGGACTTGTGATGGACTTGTGAATGAGATGTTACTGACTTGTGATCAACTAACTTACAAATCTGATCTTTACATTACCACAACTCCAATCTACCTGATGTAATAACGCAATCTACATCTCGCGTGCTGTAGACATCGTTGTAAAAATCTTCTCGTGACGCCTCCAACTTCTTGTCGAAGCAAGGCATGATGGTAGCATGGTAGACGTGGTGTGGTCGGATACCACTCTGCTTGGAGTAATAATCCTTGATCAGCGAGCCCATGACTTGCTGAGGGGACTTGGTGGTGCTGATGTAAGGCAGGATGTAAGACCCATGTGTCTTCTCAGCGTAACACACCCAACCTGAGACGATATTTTTCAAATCTTATAAATCCATCTTGTAGCAATGGTCAAGGAGATTACAGTTCAGGAGTTTTTGATCATTTTTCTGAATCATTAATTAGATATCATGGTTAATTGGCTCTGTCAGGGACATTACACTTCCTTTCATTATGGTGGAATTGCCGAAGTTTTTTGCATTTTATTTTTTAAGACAAGTGTCCAGAGTATACCTGGGCAGGCAGAAGCCAGCATCGGTACAGTCCCTTTCTCTTCTCGTCTTCTGAATCTATCAACAAACTCCTTCTGGCTTTGAAGAAGACTGAAGTCCCTGGCAAATGTCTCATCAAACACATGATGCACACCTGCAAATAGAATAGATTTGAAAAGCTAAAGTAGAAAAAAATTGAGGATACAGTTTGGGTTTTTCTCAATAATTCTACAGTAAGTTTCTAAGTCAATTCAAACTATCTTGCATAGGCCCTTGAACCAAATTCATTTGCAAGTAAAAACTAGTGATTCTGTGCATCTTCTATTTGTTTACAGTTTACAAGCAATAATAAAAACTTTACAGTGGTGACAACCAACACCGAGATATAAATTCTACAAATACATATTCATATCTCGTTTTGGAAATTTGAGATACAAATGGATTTGCTGTTGTGGGAAAAACACAGGATTTTCTTTCGTTACTCTTGTTAATAGTCTTGCAAATGCAAAAAAATCCAGATGGTGATAACTCTAGCCCCTGGCCACGCCCCTTACCTAATTCCTTGAGGACCCTAGTCAGTCTCCTTGCTGTCTCCTGTAGAAAGAGATGTAAGGCAAACATCCCCCGCCCCAATTCTCTAGTCCCTAGCCACGCCCCTTACCTAATTCCTTGAGGAACTCAGTCAGTCTCCTTGCTGTCTCCTGTAGGGAGAGATGTAAGGTAAACATCCCCCGCCCCAATTCTCTAGTCCCTAGCCATGCCCCTTACCTAATTCCTTGAGGAACCCAGTCAGTCTCCTTGCTGTCTCCTGTATTGAGAGATGATACCGAGCAGCCAGCGATGCCCTGGATTGAGGCGACACTGAGACCACCACTAGCTTCTTCTCTTCGTGACCCTGACATCAAAATTTAACACAGTTACATTTAAGGACTTCTCCCCAGATACCATTTGCCTGCGGAAATCACTGCCCCAGCGAGTTCTTCAGTCACCAACCCTCTGGTCACCAACCCTAGTGAGTGCTGTCACCTTCAGCTAATCAATCCATCCCAAACAGCTTCTTTTTTTTTACTTGCACATTTTTGTCTTTTTATGCCTTGAGTTAGTCTGCACCTGCTTGTTTACACTTCAACCAATGTGTAAGTATGCTTCAGAGGAGGTTTCTTAACATAGGAAGATGGAGATGTTGATGATAGATTGGCATTCATATATGGAGGCCCCAACACTATTGTGCACGAACCCATTCTCATGTGTTTTTTTTTTTACCTCTGGAAGTTTGTTGTTGGCTTCTAGAACCCTGAGTAATTCTTCCTGGCTCTGCTGTGTAATGAGAACGCTCTCCGCCGATGTGATGCAACCGCTGCATGCAAGACAATCATTCAACGTTATCTGGGCTTTCTTGAGCTGTGTTGCTTCACCATCCTTGAGGAAAGAAAAAAGATCTGTATTCCTCTAACTCCCCAACATTTTTAATATGGAATCTTCCCGAGTCCTCCCAAATCCTTCATTCTGCAGGAATCCAGTGGTGCAGTCTTTGCACTTTAGATACAATGGAATCAAGCCCTATGTGAATTTACAGCAGCTAGGCACTATACCTTCCTCAATACTGCAAACTTCTCTAAACTTTCTATATGTTTGTAAGTGTTGGAAGGTTTTTAATGTGCCTGTCTGGTTTGTCCTATTGCATGTTTTTGTTATGTCCCAACTATATAAAATCAACCCAACTATAGTTGAAATGTCACAATTACAGTAGAGACAATGCTAACTCTAAATTTAGATATTTCATCTGTAGCTGGGACCACCAACTGCAGTTGGGACAACTACAATAGCTGGGCATATCATCTTTAGGGTCTGCTAGTTTTATAGGATTCTCAATTCAAAACACTGTGATTACAGTGATTACAAACTTTTAAGCAGAAGTACCTAGAATTTTTACACAGTATAGCTGGGTTCTTTTTTTAAATGAAATTTATCTTACAATGCCAATTTGTACATAGCTGCCATCGGACTGAACTTTGATGGGACCCGATCGACCTGGAAGACGTTCCACCTGGACAGGTTTGATGCATTCCTGCAAGAAAATGTCAGACAAATAAAATGGACCACTGAATTGCGACCAACCCTTTTGTCTGCATACAAACTTGTATTTATACAGAAGTGGGCAGGTAGGTCTATTTTAATCTGTTAATAATGAATACTACTGATTCATCAATGTTCATGACTCTGAATCAGAATCAATGAAAGTCCAGGAACCATTTGGTTGATAACTTATGCACGTGCACCAGCAGGCAGCAAAAAAAAAATACAGGAGTCCTAAAAATAATTAATGCGAAGAAACTTTCTCTTGAGATCTAATACCATTTCCTCAACCTGAAATGAAAGAAACGCAGTTTCCCCTCGGAAAAAAGAGCATTTTAACGAAATAGATGCAGCATAATCAGCATGCACTTGGAATCAAATCAAACACAGTCAGGATACATAATTACCGCAATTATTAATTTAATCTAACCTGAGATGGGGTGATAAAGTCGTCTAAATCGGTGAGGCGAAGGGCTCCACTAAAATTGGACGCCATCGCATTCGCAGTAATGAAATAACTTTCTGCACGTAGGCCTGTGCCGTCTAGTCACGGTCAATGATCGTCCAAACGCCTCTAGCTCTTGCATTCACTGTAAACATTGAACAGCGCCACCAATCACATGGCTGTGGCTGGAAATTACCAATCTCTCTGAGCTGATTAGATATTTAAGCGCAAATTAAACAAACGGGTCTAAGAACTTCTGCAAATTCCATTTTTCATGTATTTACGAAGTATAATTGTGGAGAAAGGCAGTGACGACTTAAACTAACAAACACGTTTATCATTCAATTTATGATCCAGAAAATTAACTGTCGAGCAATCTTTGAAAATATTTCCCGCTAAAAAAAAGGGGTGTTGTTTTATTCTAGTGGTTGATATAGCCGCGCCATAAAGGTATTCATTTTCATTGCCTTTTTATATATTCTCCACTTTCAGGAGCTGTTAAACTGGTACTTTGTATATAAAGTTGTGTTTCCCGTGCTTTCAACAAATTCGATAAATAAAGGTTTTTTAAATGCCGTATGTTTAAATTAATAACAACACAAACATTTCTCCATTTTGGAAGTCCACGGCCACGTCTACGGTCCGCAAGCATCTGAAAAAAAAAAATACTTTTTTGGCGCACTTGTCCAAGATCCGCATCATTAGTTCCCGCACTCACGCATGGCTTAACAAAATCCGTTAATCCCGTTATGTAATTAATACAAATTTGCGGGTAAATAGTACACAGTAGTTGGCAAAGAACGAACTCAAGGCTAGCGATATTAGTGGAGGTTCTGTTGGCAGGTGGATTGTTACACTTTGCTGTTGAGGGAATTTAGCCTAATGTGATTCAAAATTTTCCTAGCGATTCAGCATTCAAGCCATTAAGCTACAACGAAATTGTAATATTTCTAAACTTACAATAATACGTAGCTATTATTTACAGAATTGAGTTACGAATCAACAGAAAATTGATATTTAAAAAGCATGAGCTTTACAACCACCCCTGTTAGCGAATGGTTCCATTAATTGATTGAGTGACGTCGCGTTGCGCGCTATTGTTCGGCACACGTTTGGTCGTCTGGCACATACAGCTTATGCTAATAACACGCAGGTCGCGGCAGTGTGTGTGTGAAAGCTTTACATTGCAACGGATAAAGGGCCGTGCCACGACCGAACGTTGGGGCGACAGTCGTGTCATCCTACATTCCTGATCAGAATCGTAGCATTGCACTCATCGCTAAGCTTCATATTATAGTGTTGAAGATCACAATCTTCTACATCTTGGAGATAATATCACTCGTCTTGGCACTTCGATCTTCGTCAATCCGTGAGGGACACGGTTCTAAAGACACAAAACACCGGCGTCACACGCATCAGCGACCGGGAGCAAACGCCCACAAGCCCCTGGAGTAGACGGCTGTCGACGCTAGTCACAACTCGTCGATGTGATCGTTGAGCTCGATAAACTCGGTCGCATCGCGTTGGTTCCCTTGGCTGAAAAGCTTTGCTGATTTTGTTCTCTGGGGCACCACAGCTAAGCCTCTTCGACTTTGAAGCAGCTACGATCGGATAAGCTGGAAACGGGCCAAGCCTTTTGTGCAGTAGATTTGTCATTTCTCAGGACCTTGAAGAATTTATCTGCAACTGCAAGGCGATTTTTCATTCGGAAGTTATGCTGTGACTGTCTGTGAATTTCAGCTTTGCAGTGTGCAAAATGTCTTGACTGTAACTCACACAGTTCCTGGCCCATTCATGTTACATCAAAGATAAACATGCCAACACAAACCCTGCTATGAGGACAAATAGCTCCCCAGTGTGTTCCGTTTGGTGATCCTCAGGTATCTGTTGCCATGGGAACCGGCTCCTCTCAGTCAAACAGGTCCTTTCTCCCATTCTTGGAGTCCCTCCACGTTGTTCTCCTCGGACTTGATTTCTCAGGCAAAACGACAATCCTGTACCGACTAAAGCTGGATGAATTCATCAACGCAGTTCCCACCTTTGGCTTCAATGTTGAAAAACTTCAATCAAGACATGGACAGTCAAAAGGGGCGCGGTTTAAATTTTGGGATGCAGGGGGAAGCGAGAAACTCCGCCCACTTTGGAAGTCCTACACACGGGCGACGGATGCAATCATTTATGTCGTGGACAGCTCTGATCGCGAAAGATTCGAGGAGTCAAAGAGTGAGTTGATGAAACTTTGGCGGTCATCACAGAACAGTGGCGTGCCGATTCTTATCATCGCTAACAAGCAAGACTTACGAGAGGCTGTCAGTCTTGAGGAAATTGAACGACACCTCAGTCTGAATGAACTACGACAGCATAATCCGTACCAGCTCATACCAGCATGTGGAATTACAGGTGAAGGGTTAGTCAATGTCATGGATATACTGTGCGAGATGATTGATAAACGAAGAAGTCTCGCAAAACAGCAGAAGAAGCGAGGGAGGTAACACCGGCTTTGGGAGCAACCTTTTTACCTCAAGATTATCTCTGCCATTTATGATGACAGCCCGCGATGTAGTTGAGACATGTGAGGGATCACAAGTAGGATAAACAGCAGAAAAAGGAATGCCTTTATCACTATTATTTGAATAGCTTGTGAGCTGACTTGCAACTGGATGAGTTGTGATGACTTATGATCCATCACATGTACATTAATCAATACAACCTTGTGTGTGATGCTGTGGCCACTCAAGTCAAAGATGCTAATTTTACAATGCAATCCTAGGAAAATCGTTTTGTGACTTGGTTGGGCACCCAACGCTTTAATTACCACACATAAAGTCATGCATGTTAGGAAATCCAACTTTTAAGTCACAAGTAAATTTTCAAAAAATCATAAAATTAGAAGTATTTGTTTGATGGATAACCAAATAACAAAATTCCCAACTAAAACTCAAAGGATTTCATTAATAATTATGTTCACACTCGATGTCGCCTTGCTATCACTCAAAATTGTAATATTAATAAGTAGTCCATAATATTTACTTTTGGTTACTACTCATTTTGACCTTTAATATTGGCTGAACATCAGTAAGTATTGATAACAGTCGGCAGTTTTATCAGATCCTTATCGCAGATTTCCTTTATATTCTTTGATCTGACGTAAATACATGTGATAAATGATCAAGGATATATTCATTAAATATTATTTTTATGGTTTGAAATTTTTATGCTGTTGTTTTTATTGAAGAAATCCTGCATTTCTCTGTAATGCATTGAAATTTTAGTTGATTTCACTCAGAATTAATTGGTGCCACTTAAATCCAAGCAACAATTATTCTTATTTACATTATTTCTTTCCTTAATGCCACTTTATTGTAAATGGAATTTACCGTGGTATTTGACTGCATCTGAAAAGAAGTTCTTCACTTATTGTTGACAATTACAAAATTAAGTTTGATCCATTTCTAAAATTCATAAAAAAACCTTTTGTTTCAAATTTGTTTAGGTCTGTCTGTTGAAGTGCCTTATGTCATCAGCATAGCTTTTTTCTCAAAGCACCTTGTTTTCTTAATTTCCGGGTAACCGCACTATGTCATGAAGAGTCAGTAGTGTGGTGCCCTGACCCTTTCAAAATTTCAATGCAACATTGTGTGTTTTTGTCCACTTGAGGGCAAGCGCACTGTGGGAGCCGATTATGTTCTTTACAAGTGCCTATATAGATAATTTAAATATGAATACAAACCCATGGTGGGTGCTTGTAGCCCTGTATATAGGGGGCATACAAACACCTCTTTGGACCCCTTGTGAATGTATTTGTGTATCTTCCAGGGTTTTACATATAAAAGGGACTGTTAAAGCTCATAAATATTCCGTTTTAGAGCTTAACTTCTGATTTTGTGCATGTAGAACACAATGTATGGGAACATGAACAGTTTTTAATTTTCAAAACTGAAGGGTTTAAATGAATTAGTTTGTTGATTGTTCCCTGCTACTGGTTCAGAGACTAAATATACATGCTTATCATGTTAAGAACATTCAAAGAAACGAATATGGATGTATTTCCTTGATTAACAAGCGGAAATTGTTAAAAGAAACAAAATCACCGGAATTTTAGCATGTTTACAGAACAGTCATTTACTGGAATTGGTAATCCTGAATCTTCAAATAATGTATTGTTTTCAAAAAAGAATTGTGATGTTGGGATTTTATCAACAAATGACCCCAAAGTCCTAGGGTTTTTTCCAGAATGTCACAATTGAGCACTTGTTTCCTCAGGTTGCTTTGACTGAGTTTTAAAAAAAAAAACACCAAAACGCCCAATTGATGCAAAAGCCATAAAACATCAAAAGCATCATGGAAGCATGTGAAAATTCAGAGCATTGTCGAAACCATTGTCAAGTTCATGTATATTGCTTATGCTACGAAAAAAATATAAAAGACAACATAACGCAGTTCTTGTAGAAAATCCTTGGATTGCATTATATTCCCCCAAAGATGTGTTTATCAAAAATTCATGTCAGTTTGCCTGGGCAATTTATGCCAATTTCAGGTCAGTCTGTCTGCCCGGTTTATCTCGGTTCACATCCACAGCTACCGTAAACCACACCGTTTGCCTCCGGCAAAAGTGCAGCTGTCAAACTGACACGACAGCCGCCATATTTGGACAAACAAAAAGCCCACAACCGCCATCTTTGTTTTGTTTGGGTGGAGGGGAAAAACTGGCTTGAGATTCCCGATTTGTGTTTACTACTAAGAAAATAAGCACTGTGGTTTGGTGCACACTGTTTTGTGGTCACTAAACCGCATGCGGCACTGGTCTTCATATACAGGGTATAAATTATGTGTGACTGGTGACCATGAACACATTTTGTTTTTCTCTAAGATTTTGAAGACCCCTCTGTCGATGGGATGACAGTTGAAAGACAATGTCTCGATTTTATTTTGGTATGGAGTTGTTCAGCAGTATTTGACTTGGAACTTGCATGGAATCAGTTTCCTATAATTAGCTGGAAATCAAATCAAGAAATACATGCACTTTTGCTTTAACTTAATAATTTGTTTGCCATGAATTAAATTAATTTTCATTGATGAAAATGTTTGGCCAATTTTTTGATGAATCTAACCCAGAAGTAAAGCTATTTGAAATACATGTTTTTACTCATGTTTTGTACAGAATTCATACAAATTCTGGTTTATTTCTAAATAAAAAAGAGATTGGGGTAAAATGCAAATTCCAAGCAGAATATTGTGACAACAAACTTACAAAGCTGTATGACAATTTTTAAACAAGGCCAAAAAGTTGACATTATTATTTTTCAGAGTGTGTGTGATGATTGCCGTGCACATTTCATGAATCAAAAATCACGAAATTACATTTCTTTTGTTCACATTTTGTGCAAAAAAAAACATTGAATCAATTTTTGATTGTAAGCCTAATGGAAATTTGGTGCTGATTATGTGTGTATCTTTTCTTTTAAAAATTGTTTCTGTCACACAGATGTGTCAATTTTGATGTATAAAAATGTGATGTGGTTGAAAGGAGTCTTATAGGCAATAAAATTCCTACCAGGGTTCAGATACTGATTTCTCAGTGGGTTTTTTTTTCATGGATTTTTGTTACAAAAACAGTCAGATCTATATGAGTTTTCCCAGGGCTTATGTTCTCTCTGGTTGAATTAAGTTCAAGGTAAAAACTCTTCCGTTGTTCACACTACAATGCGATTGCCATGGTATCGGTTCACAATAGATTTGAAAAGGTTTCTGTGCAGACTATGGGGCTATATAGTTCAATGATTATTATATTATCACACTTGCAATAGAGTGCGGTACATGCAGCTGACGGGTTAACCAAACTCAGCCCGATCCAATGCATGCGCACAAGCTGAAAAAAATTCAAGGTGATCGAAAAGTGCATTGCGTTCTTGAGAAATTGCACGTATGACGTTTGTTCGAATTGCAGTAATGTCGCTTACTTAAGAACACAATCTCCATCAGTCATAATGGGCATTCACTATGGTAACACCATGGCTGTCCTCCAGTGCAATGAATGGATAATCTTTCCATTCCATGCACATAAATGCATTTCGCATAGCAAATTGTGCCTATTACTCCCTTTTAATCAAGTAATATACCTCAACTGCTCTTAACCTTCTCACATAAAATGTGCTTATATAAATAGCAATATTTTTGCCTTACAGCACATTGAAATCCGAGACCTTGGTTTCCGTTTATAGATCCACTTACACTGGCGTCACACGTCTTATCGACCTTGTTCCCTGCAGCGTTATAGTGTCTTCAACGCATCATTATAAACAACTTGAACCTCGGGTTTCTTTCAGCGGTCATTGGCATTGATTGAGTGCCACACTGGGGGCGGGGCTAACGGGGAACCCTTCGTCTTGATGGAAGGGGGAATCAGGCGAAAGTGCAGCCTACATTTTAGCCGTATTTTTTATGTTTTGGTATATTTTCAGTCAATGCAAAAAACACTCTGTTTAGGACTTTTTGGAGTAAAGGCCTTTTGCTGCTCTAACGAAGTCCTGCTCAATGTCTGTAAACATTAAGAAAGGTCCATAATTTCGTAATCGTAGTTACGTATTCGTGAAGAAAAAATTGCTGCCACCACTTTTCTCTTCTTTATGAGTTGTGCCGTTTAAATGACCTGCTTTAGTGGATTTGTATGTATTTTTTTTTATAACTCCTTGAAGTAAAAAGTTCTTGCAAAACAAATTTGCTTTTAAATTTGATTTAGCCAATTTTCTCTGTGGGTATACCATGCACTCGTCTGCTGCCCGAAATTGTCTGAGTGATTGCGAACTCCCTTCAATCTGGAGCAATTACCGTCAATTGCAAAAGCAGCTGGCAATCCCTGCAACTGAACGTTACAAATACGACGATTGACCTTTACATTACTCGAATCAAACTTTTGTATTTTTCTCTCTCAGTCTCTATTCGAGTTCCACCAGGTTCGGTGGGTTTTTTTAAGTTGAAACGCGACGCAATTCACAGTGCTGTGCATGAAAAAACATTGTACATATGCCTAAAGTATTTCTGCTTGAAGCTTCAAGTCTACAAATTACCTCGGGAAAGAACAATGGAGCACTACCAGTTATTAACGCCAGCGAATGGCGTGTTGTTTGAAAGGACACTCCCAACAGTGTTCGGAGAGTATATTTACGCCTAATGGCGCAGTAGACCTATTTCCCATGGCAAACTTATAATGGACTGCAGGGGCGTTGCACGGATACGATGGAATTGCATGAAATTTAAAAGAGAAATATAGTAGGATTTGGCTCCAAACATGATGTTATGAAACAATCCTGTTTTTCGCAATAATCAATGAATTCATATTTTGCGGAAATGTCAGGTCGCCGTGTGCCATGACGAATCATTTTACATATCCGGTAGGCCTATATATATATATACATGTACAAGCCGTGCAATAGAATACTAAGTTATCTCTTAAAAGACTCATCCAATCCTATTGATTAGTTGTTTACAACTGGTAATGATGCATATTAATTATGTTAAAATCCATAGCGATGCATACGGATGCCTATTAAAATGCTACAAATATTCATTTCCGACACTAGAGACTTGACTCCGAGCCCCTCGCGCGTTCCTGAGGCGTATAGGTCATTCAATTCAGGCACCATTAGGCCAAATAAAGAAAAAAAAAGTTTAGAGTCCCCACCCGATTCCTTTTTGGAGGTTGCCTCTTTTTTTTTCTCTCTTTTTTTTTAAATGACGTAAATGGATCCCCCACTGCATGCGCTGGTAACACGTCAATGCACCGTCGAACTCTGGTCGAACTTGTTTGATTTCAGCAAATTTCTCATGTGTCACAAAAAGCCATATTTGTTCCAGACGATTGGTTTTAATTTAGGCATGGAATGGAATTGTGTAGTACAAAAGAAAAGTGCAGTCACCAGTTTTCGTTTTACCCATGTGATTTCTTTGAATAGCCTAGCCTACATATTGTTGATGTACCCTAACGTGGCGCGGCCCCTAACATGGCGCACTTTGATTTTTCGCCTGTAGCGCCTAGCTATATGAGCAAAAGTTTTAACCGAAATTTCACAGGGAAGTGATTTTTTTTTTCAAGTTTTAAAATTCCCGTTCATAAATCACGAGTTTATCTATCCGTTACAAAGTTGCAAGAAACTGTTATTTCGGCTTGATTTTCCGAGATTTTTTTTCGAAGTGCACAGTGCAACTTTGAAGATGTCCCCAAAAAATAGAAAATAATTTTCTGACAAACTTCTAGTCGGGTATGTAGGTAGAGATAATAATTGTTTATCAGAATTTTTCAACTTTACATAAATTCTTAAATGTCGATTTGAAATTTTCAAGTGCGCCACGTTGGGTAACACTCAGCCGATCTGTGCCCAATTTCCGGACGCCACCGTTGTTGAATTTCGGATTATATTTCATGAAAACCGAAATAGTTCACAGAGTTTAAATAGCAAGCATTAATAAGGTGAAAGCACCAGTATTTCACTGAATGAGTTTGAAGTTTGTCAACAAAGAAGTTTGGCAACACTGATGTGGAAAGTCGGGGTAAATGTCAAAGTGCTCCACGTTATATAATATAATCAGCTATAATAATGTCTTCATGTGCTATCTTTCTCACCGACGGTCATGTGACTTCCTGTCGACTGCAAAGAAACTCTTATCCGTTGAATCACACAACTCCGCCAATTAATACACGCTCTCTGCTCTCGGGAGAAAAAAATTTCTGCCGCCTTGAAGTAAATGTAAAAGAAACTTCAAGAGATTAGAAATAAAGCCAAATTCTTCGCATGTTATAAATTACAACTCTGCGTGATGGACTTTACACACAGCTGTGAAGGATACAAATATACGTCATTGTGACGTCATTACATGTTTATTCCTTGGACACCCGTGAGGTTAAGCATCTGAAAATGTGATTCATCCTAACCATAATGGCACTGGAGAATTATTCATAAATTAATGGAATTTACGTCGGGATGATGTAAAATAATATGAGGTTTTGCCCGTCATCGATGTATTAACACTGTATACTCAACTAAAAATGTGTTACCCCCGAGTGAAAATTAGAGAGAGAGAAATCCCTCTGGTGGGACTCGATCCCACGACTTCCTGCTTTGTCATGCACACGTCTTACCCCTTGGACAATAAGATTTTTGTCTGGTTTTACTTTTCGAGGCAAAACAAAAAAGGGTTAAATCAGTTCCATAGCTACGAGGGGGTGGGGCGCATGGGGGTACGAACACAGACATTGAATACAGATATTATCACTTGCCTTCAGTGAAAATAATGCAACTTATAGGTGCCCCCAAAAATGTTAACCCTAGTCACGCCAATAGGTAAATAGTTATGTCCAGAAATATGAACAATTGCATTGAAATATATTGTTGTTAAAAAAATGCTAGCGCATATTCCCGAAACACCTTGCATCCTCTTCTCGTGAAACGCATGACGTAAATGAGGAAAATCATCTAAACTTAGCTACAATTTTATTTCCGTTAGGGGGAAAGACACTGGGGATGTACTCGTGGATTTATAAATAGAACATCTGAAGCTTATTAGGCCCCCACCGCAAATAATGAAATCTCCCGCCGTTGCATTTTCAGTTGTGGCTTGTTGACGCACGTTCAACTATGACTAAGACATTTTAGTTTTGAAAGTTGGAGGTGGTTCCTTGCTCTTTGGTGAACCTCACTAGACTGAGGCTTGAAATAGTGATCACACGCAGTAAAATCAACTTCTAAATCGGCGTTAAGTACATTGAGGCAAGACATAAATGAAATCCGTCGAAATCTCGTTAACAACTCATTCGGTTAAATAAAGGAATTGACCTGAGCGGCATTTGAACCTGCGACCTCCGGAACCGTGCAGCAGCTGTCTACCAATTATTCACAAGGAACTTGTATATGACACCCATTCGCTGTTAGTTCGTGTAAACCTCTTTCCAAATCAAACTTCTGGAGCTATTATTAAGACCATTAATTGGTATCGCTAATGGTTTGGAAAATAGACGAAATTTAAACTTAAAGCTCTGTTGTTTTAAGCACTCACGGTGATCCGGGTGCGGCAGATATGCCGCTTTCCTGTCAATGAACAAGGAAACATTGCAAAACCCCTTGCATTGAGCCCTCCCTGGGGACATGTCTTTGTTCTTGATGTATCACGGAGAAGTACAGACACTTGCAAACTAGACAATTTATATAACAAAACTTGTCCTCGAGTGTGCAACTTTGCTAGACAGTTATATATTGTGTACCTGCCAATCTCCAATCAACGCAGAAACATTGTGACAACTCTGTCAATTCTTCCAGAAAGGCGAATGTTTAATATCAATATTTCCGCAAACCTGAATACCCAAAATCTTGTCTGGAGACCTCGGGGAAGGTAGGGGATGGAGAAAATAAAATCACAAATTATTCCTTTCTCAAACTAGGCTATTGCATTCAGTCAGTTTAACTCCCTCACTGTTTCACATAGTAGTCAGTGAATCATCGTACATATCACCTTAAAAGGATATTTTGGATGTAAATGGAGTAAATATTATTGTCGAGTTGTATAAACAAGATCGTACAGAGAACCCCGGCTGGGATCCAAAGGGATTCACCATGGACTGGAATTTAAATGTGGCTTTTACTAGTGGCTCTAACAAAACAAAATAGTGGGGTAATATCGTGGGATTTATTGTCTTTAAGATATGCTCTCTGCTACCCTGGAAGGGGGGATTGTAAGAGTGCGTCCCCCCCCCCCCCCCCCCCCCCCCCACATGGGGTCCATGGTCCCGATTGGGAGGAGATTCAAGAAATATCTGCCACTTTTGAATTTTGGATCCAAAAACTTCGTTGCGCGCCTCTAACTGCGTGCGTCAAAGATTAATTTGGTTCAGTTAAAAACGGCCAATGCAATCAATTGTCCTTATAAATGTATATGTTTTTGTGTTCATGTTCATCCTTTTCATTTGGAAATTTAACTCATTAGAATCTAGAAATTAAATTGAAAATGCTGTCATTGTAAGTATTGAAAAAACTTTATGTTCCGCAGTGCAAAAACGTAGCACCATTATGCCAATTTATCAAAACAATCTATACTGTGAATACTCAGGCTTTTTATCGGCGTGTAGCATCTGTAGACCCCAGATGCCATATGTTTTCATGATAATTGCCCCTGGGGCTTTGTTTTTAATCGATGATTCAGCATCACCAGCTGCTACCCTCTCTGTTCCATTAATTTGATCATTAAAATTTACATAATAACAAACCGATTAACCAAAATAAATTATGCATTAAATGGACCTTACACACTGCAGCTATTTTGTATTCGGTTTAGATCCCATTAAAACGCACTGGACGTTCGTCAGTCAAAAACATAAGTGGATAGCGATTTACTCTCCTGTATATCATCATATCACTTGCACAAGTCATTATCGTAATTGCAAATTCTGTCTCATGGCTTAAATATTCACATAAATACATTTGTAGATTTGTTTCGAAGAACCGCATAATTGATTTGCTCAAAATAGTCCTATCTTGGTTTAAAATAAAACCCCGTCTTCAAACAAAAACACACCCGTATATGCCATCTTTTCTATGCATACTGAAAGTGGCTTTAAAATCATACGTATTGTTTTGAAGGCCCCATAAACATTATTCTAACATATTTTTTTTATGTGACCCACATGATTTCATGTATCATTTAGCTAAACACCAAAAAGTATTTAAAAGTTCTTTTTTTTTTGATGGATCAAAGCGCATATCTATTGCAAACCTGTAGAAAATGTTGACCCAATCACATCCCGGAAAAAGGCGTGGTCTAAAACTGCTAAATTTGAGGAGTTTCTGTTCTGTCAGCAAATGACTGCCATATATGGTTCTGAATGTTGCACAAATGTTCACAGACAAACAAGAGTTATATATAGATGCCTGCAACATTCAAAGTGTCACTTGTATAATTAATACGAGCATTCATCACCTAGCGCCGCGCTATCGAATGATGCCTTCGTCATGCCCTGTCAATGCGTGTGTATTTTGAATGCTGGTTCGAGATCCTATAAATCTCCACGCAGTTTGATGTTGTTAACGTTCCGAATATTTTATTGGTATCGTCATTTTTGTGTCAGTTTGGATGCATATTTTGACGAAAATCATCCGCGTTCTTTGAGCAGAACTCGTCACTATACGGTATAGGCCCCACTGTCCAATTTATATAACGAGGGATAATGTGAGTTTTTTTATAATCAAAATGTGAATCAGAGGCGGATCTAGCTTTCAGGAAACGAGGGGTACCGGGTAGGGTGATAACAAGGGAGTATGCCCCGGAAAATGTTTCAATCTATACGATGCTTGCTTTCTCCTGCATTCTGAGGCAATTTCAGAATAAATTTAGAACCTTTAGCATTTCATTTAAGTATCTTTTGTCCCATTACAGTATCATAACTTTAGTCAGCGGCTGAACGGGGTGCATCACCCGTTCTACGGAGCGAGCCGTGTGCTAGACGCTCGTCTTCAACGAGCGTCTATTACATTCAACGAACGTCTATTACATAGACTAGGTGGGGGGGGGGGGGGGTGAAGTTGCAAAATCCCCAAGACCCGTCACTGTACATGTATAATGAATACTATAGTTGCGAAAATCGAACGTACTTATAATGGCCCTTCAGGGAAATGTCAGCAATATTACTAGTAGCAATAGACCCATTGCATCTGATGATATAGGTCTGCATGGTCCTTGTTGCTCTGCTTGAATGGACACATTGTTCTTGAATTACCAGTGATTTGAAATAATCAAAACTTCACTCAGTGTCTATGTAGCCTATGTAGGGCGCACCAGTACCATCCACGGAGTCAATTCTGGAATTCAAATAACACAAGGAAGTTAGGTTTAAATAAAACCCAAAGCTTCCAATGTGGCCACACATCCTGTTTGTGGCATATTGTCCGAATCAACGTAATCTATTTGGGGGTAAAACTAGTGTTTTATGCCGAGAAACCAAGGAAAGCGGTTTGTTGAGTAAATAGCAACGTTAGCAACATCCTGTGACTCCGGGGACAATACCGAAATGAACACCCAGAACAGGGAAATGTACATGCGTTCCATGTAATGTAATCGTCAGAACCGGTGAAACAGCAAAACATGATACTTTCACTTTTTCAAGAAAACAGTAACACTTCACAACAATTCTATGGAATTTATGAATTTGCAAAAAGATTTAGGTTAAATAATTATACTGCAATAAAAGTGCCCGTCTCGTCTGACCGGAGAGGGGCGTGCTGATAATAAGCAATGTACTCACAAGAAGACCACATAATAGGGCTGGTTGCTCTTTGTCGAATCACCCCGGTCCCCCATCCCCAACCACCATAACCACCACATTATTTAGCAAAATATTTATAGAGGCGCGTTAAATATCGGAGATTTTGTTTGGGGGGAGGGGGGGGGGGGGAGGAAGGGGAGAAATGTCAATAAAGTTTGAAATCCCTCCCTAATAGCTTCAAACTGGATGTGCCATAACAACTGGTATAGGCCTACTCAGTATAGGCAGTTGCGTATCCATGGGTGTGTGTGTGTGGGGGGTTAAAAGGGGGAAACTTGCCCCCCCCCCCCCCCCCCCGCGCGGATTTTTTGGATTTTGGGGGGTAACTATTTCCATAAACGGTATAGAGAGGTCTGACACGAACGAGAAATAAAGAAAAGCCAAGCCAAAGAGGCACATTACACGAAGGCTTTTGATTTTGCACACCTCCCCCCCCCCCCCCCATCAAAAGCTGGATACGCTGCTGATTGGAGGGAAACGCTCGCCTGCTAGATTTACTACTACATTTGGGCATTTTGGAGATGATAAAGCAAGGGAAACATCACAGGCGCTACCAATAAGTACTATAAAACTCGTCCAAGTTAATTATTCTGTCCCGCCCTGGCCCTTCGTGCTAGTTAAGTTACGGTCTATCGGTATAGCGCCCTCTAATTTTTACCAATAAAAAAATGGCGTCGCCCATGCGGTAGAAAGTGCAGTAAATATTGAAAACTATGGAGAGACTCCACACCCACGTGTGGTTCACAGGAAAGAGTCTGATTAATGTCCTCACGGAGCTGCCAAACTACGGGATCGGGAGGCTCGTGACACGACGAAGATGGACCATGATGTACCCAGAGAGCGAACCGTGTTACGTCAAAATAACCCGTGTCAAAGTCGACTGCACCAGACCGGTAACTTAGTCGGGCCCTCCGGGGCCGGGGGGGGGGGGGGGGGGGGGTGCGATTAAAACTTGTGGAATGTTAATTGAAAATTAGTTTAAGGTACCCATCTTTCAATTATGCATGTAATGTCTTTCATTGTTTTCATTTAATTCTTTTCAAGTGTATTTGTCATCTAGTTTATTTCTGATGCCCCACAACTTTTACACTGGCATGACTTTCCAAGCATGCCAAGGGCTAGGGAAACTTACACAAATGCGTCACAAATATAAATAATTATGAAATCAGAACAGTTTGAACATCATTTAAGCTGTAATAACATGCAGGGAAACATTTTAATTATCATTAAAATTAAGCAGGCCCTACTTAAATTATGTTCACCACATTTCTTGTTTGTTCTATGTTCATCCTGTTCATCCATCACAGAAACATTGAAATTCATCTAATCCGGATTTAACGATAAATGTTGTCCTCTATGTTATTTTTTTTTTTTATTGTTGCAGGAACTTGATCGAGGACAAGTGTGGGGAGAACTCACATTCAGAGGTAAGGAAATTTGCCGTTCTGTTCACTGAAAATCACCACTTAATCCTTTTTAAACAAACGAAAAAGTAGAGGGTCACACTTTGTTTTACCATGGTTTTAACTGGTGTTTTGTCAACTGTTGCTTTTATTTGCCATTTTAAAAATACCATTACAGAATATTTCTTATTGATTTTTATTGCAGGATACAAAAGAGAGGGTTTGGTAGTTGAGGTCGGGGCTTGGTGGAAGAGAGAATGGGAGTTGATCCGCAAGGCCGATGAAGAGGACTTCTGCAAGTTCACGCCCAAGCCGGAAGACTTTCATGTGGCTCCGAGCCACGCCCGCATGCCTCCACTCTTGGAAGCCATGGTGTTGAAACAGCAAGCGGATAAGGGGATTAAAGTTGATGCAGACGATCCACCGTTGTTGGAGCTTGAGATTAGGAGAACCTACCGGCACAAGGCCTATCAGCTGGCAAGCCAGAAAATTATTGGGGAATACTGAAAAACAAGACTGTTGAACTTCAAAAACCTTGGAAGAACAGACTCTGTGAACTACACACTGAAGTGCTCTCAGAGTGTCTGTGCATGGAGCCTTGTGAAAAAAATAAGTGGTTCTCATTCAGTTTTTAGGCTCCAGTAATAATGCCACGGCTCAACTATATTATCAGTCCCAAGTTCCCATCCTAACTGGGATGGTTTTGGACTCGGCATAGTTTTCATGCCAGAATTCATTTAAAAAATGTGTCTACATGAGTTTCTCTTGTGCTTTGTATCACGTGTGTGTTAAAATGCATGATTGGACAGCCCAACTCAAGTTGGGACTTATGATGTAGTTTGGGCTTAACAATTATAACCTGTGGTCTGTAGCACTGTATGAAAACTAACGAGGGATATATCTGTTCAGATTGGCAATGAGTGAATGATTGACATAATGAGAGCTAAATGGAAGGCTGGTTCAAGGTCTCTAAATCAAGTTTTTAACTAAGAAAGGAGGGGACGAGAGCAAGAACCAACGACCTTTTCATTGTTCATGATGCCTCATTTGGAATTGTTGTGTACCTTGGGGTGTGCTGCTAAAGTGCTGCTCTGCAATTTAGTCACAAAGGGGCTAATAGGGCATAAGGTGACTGCTCTATGTTCCGACACCCCTATGTTCCGACAACCTAGATTGTGTTACTCCCGGTTAGGGTTAGGGTTAGGATTAGGAATATGTGCAGTCGGAACATAGGGGTGTCGGAACATAGAAGTGTAACCGGGCACAAGGTACCTAGCAGGTCCAGGTTAAATATCGCCAATGTTAGGGGGAATAAAGTGGGCTGTATAAAAGCCCCTCAAACTTCATTTTCCCCCACCTACCCCATCCCCTCCACCCTCCCAAAAAAGTTAACTTTGTGTCGGTGGACTTTTCCATTGAAAAGGTTTTGTTTTTTGAGATTCAAAAGTTCCATTTTAGACCCCCTATAAAGGGCAGTGGAATAAATGTCTTATTTGACAAGGACAATGTCTAGTGGGGTTTTCCCTAGCTTTGTTTCGCAAACTTTGTACATGTATTTTGTTAATGAAATCGACTGGAGAAAAGAAAACCAGCATGTTTGGGGGAAAAAAATCTTTTTGTCCATCTCCGACATGTCCGATATCCGTGAGGATAATTCACTCTACAAATCTGGCCGTGAGAGGGCGCAATGTCTTCCCTACGCTGGTAGATCTCCAGACGTCTTTTAACAGTGCGGCTCGATATAGTTAAAGGAACCAGTCTATACGGTGAAACACGTGCATATTTCATGCAATTTCAGACTTGGTTGTGGCTAGATTCGTGAGGATGGCACAAGAAAAACCGACACTCAAAGGCATTGAAAAGAGCCGACTCAATGAAAAAACTGTAAGTAGTCCTTTGTGGCACATTATGGACTCGTCTACAAAATCTTGGTCTATGCCATATATCCTCAAACAGCATGAGTAACGTTACTAAGAATAGTCTAAGTAGTCGGGGATTTATGCGCATAACTTTAAGTGCCTTTCTGTCAGGGACCACATGAGGGCGCTGACATCAAGTTGGCTGTCTTGTTTTTAGTGCGTGTTAAAAATGCAACCTTTAAGGGTACACACCTGTAAATCGATCCGCCAAGCTCATGAATAAAAGTTATACCCTCAAAATATTCTATTTTAGAGAGTTCTGAGCGCCGTAAAATTGGGGAATTGAAGAGATATGGTAGTGAACCTCTAGCCCGGACTTGGGGCTTCCAATTCTGAGCATTTTGGATGCTATTGGGCTCGAAAGTGGCGCTATTTTGCCATGTTGTGGAGGGATCGTTTTTCAAGATGGCTACTTTTCCGCTTTGGGGAAAACAGGGGTCGTCTTCTTTGCGTGAAAATATCTCGAAAAGTCAATGGTCAACCCACCATAAATTGAAAAGAAAATGAAAGATGACACATTGATCATCATTTTTCTGTGCAGCTTGAATACCTGTGAGAGTTTTGAGTATTTTTAAAAGAATTTTGAAGTACGGGCATTTAGCACTAGTGTCTATGGGAGTTTATTTGCAGGTATGCACCCTATAAAGAATCACAAAGATGGCCGTTTCGCGCATGCGCTGTGCCGCGGCAGTGGTCTTTTCAGTGGGCGGAACCTACGGGGAGGGGGAAAAAGTGTTTTAAAGGTATCAACAAGGTTTTTTTGCCGTAACGGATGCTTCCAAATCATAAGGGAGCAGTAGGCTATCACCCGATTACAACAATTGATACTTGAAAAGGGGGGGGGGGGCATTTTGAGCTGGGTCATTCCGTGTCAAATCAACACGCTTTTGGACCCGACCCTCACAGATTGAAACGATATTTGGTGTGATGATTGGCCTATATGAGAAACCCCCAGAACTGAATTTTTTTGTAAATTGACTCGTTAGTTTTTGAGATACGGGTCAACGAACTTTTGACTAATTAGCATGACCTCCGAACTTTAAATACTTGTATCTCAAAAACTATAGCGCCTACAAAGCCAAGTTGTACATCATATTAAAGCTCTTTGAATGGCCTCCATTTCATAAAATAAAACCAAAATCGTAGCATGAAGTGCAGAGAAAATGCGTAACAAAATGACCTTTGACCTCGAATTACGAAAAACAATATGCTTCAAATTTTGTAATTTTTTTTCAAATGTTAGTTAATGATGTCAGCAACAATCTTAAAAAAAAATTGGGATGGGCGCTCTTAAAGTTTTTAGGTTATGATTTTTTGAAGAAAGCCTGTCCATGAAAAAGTATGCATAATATTAAATGTACATGTATACTTGTACTGTGTACATGTACATGTGTACATTTTACCTGTGCATCATGTTTGCCCTTTACAACCATATAGTCTCAACTCATATATATATTAAGGGCAGAACAAAATTACTTATAAAAAATATGTTATACCGGTCCACGTTACTTTCATTTTTTGCTCAACCAAAGTCTGTGTTGCAGTGTTCATCTCCTCGGCGGAGATCTTGTATACGCGTCCTGTTTCAGTGAACGGTTCCACTGCTGTTAGTACATCCTTGCCATGAATTACTGGTCGATAGGGGAACTTGAAAGATGGAGATGGCCCATGGGGATGAAGGAAACTCAGTTCCACTTCTTGGGATGCTGGAAGGATCTCCTGAACACATGCTAGCCACCAGTAACAGTCATACATCACTGTAACATATCCCTTGATATCTGCAAAATCAATACATGCAGTTTGTCCATGGACTTGGAGACAAACTGGTTCCTCCCTTGAGTCTGAGGAGGAGGAAAAATCACGCACCTTAATTTTGTCTTTAGACATCGGACAAAAACAGTGCAGCTTTTGTGTTCCTGGAATGGTACGTGCAATTTGGAATCTTTGCCTGAGAATATCCGCTTCATTCTTGTATTGCTCTGTTGTTGCAAAAGCGAAGTCAGTACTCATTTTCTGAGAAGTAGCAAATTCATACAGCTGCCAAGGGGTCATGATCTGCTGATCCAAAGGTCGCTGGAGACTAGCTCTTGCTGCAAGGCGTTCAACAGTTTAACACTTGAAACCAAAATTCATACAGTGGATGATTTTTTGGATTCCTTCATGGCTACTCTCCGCAAGTTACTACATCATGACTTTATTGCCAAACAGCAGAGTCACTTTCTCCAGCACACTAAAGACAACATGGAACCAAGCGAAATCTTGGTCATTGCAGATTTTGCAGAAAATTACAGTTTTGTAGTTCAGGATGCTGCCCAGTCATTCCACTGGAACAATCTACAGGCTACAATTCACCCCTAGGTGTGCTACTTCCAACAAGAAGGCAAACTTGATGAGCACCTAAGCTTTGTCGTCATCTCAGACTGTAATACCCATGATACTGTAACAGTACATCTGTTCCAGAAATTGCTCCTTCAATTTCTCACTAATAAGATTGGAAGTTTCAAGAAGATATTGTACTTCTCAGATGGTTGTGCTGCTCAGTACAAGAACCTCAAGAATTTCATCAACTTGTGCCATCACGAAGAGGATTTTGGTGTACCAGCAGATTGGCATTTTTTTGCAATCTCCCACGGGAAAGGCCCATCTGATGGAATTGGAGGAACTGTTAAACGCCTTGCAGCAAGAGCTAGTCTCCAGCGACCTTTGGATCAGCAGATTATGACCCCTTGGCAGCTGTATGAATTTGCTACTTCTCAGAGAATGAGTATTGACTTCGCTTTTGCAACAACAGAGCAATACAAGAATGAAGCGGATATTCTCAGGCAAAGATTCCAAATTGCACGTACCATTCCAGGAACACAAAAGCTGCACTGTTTTTGTCCGATGTCTAAAGACAAAATTAAGGTGCGTGATTTTTCCTCCTCCTCAGACTCAAGGGAGGAACCAGTTTGTCTCCAAGTCCATGGACAAACTGCATGTATTGATTTTGCAGATATCAAGGGGTATGTTACAGTGATGTATGACTGTTACTGGTGGCTAGCATGTGTTCAGGAGATCCTTCCAGCATCCCAAGAAGTGGAACTGAGTTTCCTTCATCCCCATGGGCCATCTCCATCTTTCAAGTTCCCCTATCGACCAGACACACTTGTAATTCATGGCAAGGATGTACTAACAGCAGTGGAACCGTTCACTGAAACAGGACGCGTATACAAGATCTCCGCCGAGGAGATGAACACTGCAACACAGACTTTGGTTGAGCAAAAAATGAAAGTAACATAGACCGGTATAATATATTTTTTATAAGTAATTTTGTTCTGCCCTTTGAGTTGAGACTATATGGTTGTAAAGGGCAAACATGATGCACAAGTAAAATGGCACATGTACATATGTACACAGTACAAGTATACATGTACATGTACATGTACATGTACATACATGTACATTTAATATTATGCATACTTTTTCATGGACAGGCTTTCTTCAAAAAATCATAACCTAAAAACTTTAAGAGCGCCCATCCCAATTTTTTTTTAAGATTGTTGCTGACATCATAAACTAACATTTGAAAAATAATTACAAAATTTGAAGCATATTGTTTTTCGTAATTCGAGGTCAAAGGTCATTTTGTTACGCATTTTCTCTGCACTTCATGCTACGATTTTGGTTTTATTTTATGAAATGGAGGCCATTCAAAGAGCTTTAATATGATGTACAACTTGGCTTTGTAGGCGCTATAGTTTTTGAGATACAAGTATTTAAAGTTCGGAGGTCATGCTAATTAGTCAAAAGTTCGTTGACCCGTATCTCAAAAACTAACGAGTCAATTTACAAAAAAATTCAGTTCTGGGGGTTTCTCATATAGGCCAATCATCACACCAAATATCGTTTCAATCTGTGAGGGTCGGGTCCAAAAGCGTGTTGATTTGACACGGAATGACCCAGCTTAAAAGTAGCTGGAACTCAATTTATTGTCGCTGGGGGCGCTCTACAGCTTAGCAGGGGCAAAACAATCACTATTTTCGGGCTTAATATCTACCTCGGATAATATTTTTCTTTCATTTTTTTTTTCCAAAATATTGACTTTGGAGATATTCTGCTTGTCCTGAATGTGATTTTGTGTTAAAATTTAAAAGTTGCCTGCTATTATAGGGTACACACCTGTAAATCGATCCGCCAAGCTCATGAATAAAAGTTATACCCTCAAAATATTCTATTTTAGAGAGTTCTGAGCGCCGTAAAATTGGGGAATTGAAGAGATATGGTAGTGAACCTCTAGCCCGGACTTGGGGCTTCCAATTCTGAGCATTTTGGATGCTATTGGGCTCGAAAGTGGCGCTATTTTGCCATGTTGTGGAGGGATCGTTTTTCAAGATGGCTACTTTTCCGCTTTGGGGAAAACAGGGGTCGTCTTCTTTGCGTGAAAATATCTCGAAAAGTCAATGGTCAACCCACCATAAATTGAAAAGAAAATGAAAGATGACACATTGATCATCATTTTTCTGTGCAGCTTGAATACCTGTGAGAGTTTTGAGTATTTTTAAAAGAATTTTGAAGTACGGGCATTTAGCACTAGTGTCTATGGGAGTTTATTTGCAGGTATGCACCCTATAAAGAATCACAAAGATGGCCGTTTCGCGCATGCGCTGTGCCGCGGCAGTGGTCTTTTCAGTGGGCGGAACCTACGGGGAGGGGGAAAAAGTGTTTTAAAGGTATCAACAAGGTTTTTTTGCCGTAACGGATGCTTCCAAATCATAAGGGAGCAGTAGGCTATCACCCGATTACAACAATTGATACTTGAAAGGGGGGGGGGGGGCATTTTGAGCTTAAAAGTAGCTGGAACTCAATTTATTGTCGCTGGGGGCGCTCTACAGCTTAGCAGGGGCAAAACAATCACTATTTTCGGGCTTAATATCTACCTCGGATAATATTTTTCTTTCATTTTTTTTTTCCAAAATATTGACTTTGGAGATATTCTGCTTGTCCTGAATGTGATTTTGTGTTAAAATTTAAAAGTTGCCTGCTATTATAGGGTACACACCTGTAAATCGATCCGCCAAGCTCATGAATAAAAGTTATACCCTCAAAATATTCTATTTTAGAGAGTTCTGAGCGCCGTAAAATTGGGGAATTGAAGAGATATGGTAGTGAACCTCTAGCCCGGACTTGGGGCTTCCAATTCTGAGCATTTTGGATGCTATTGGGCTCGAAAGTGGCGCTATTTTGCCATGTTGTGGAGGGATCGTTTTTCAAGATGGCTACTTTTCCGCTTTGGGGAAAACAGGGGTCGTCTTCTTTGCGTGAAAATATCTCGAAAAGTCAATGGTCAACCCACCATAAATTGAAAAGAAAATGAAAGATGACACATTGATCATCATTTTTCTGTGCAGCTTGAATACCTGTGAGAGTTTTGAGTATTTTTAAAAGAATTTTGAAGTACGGGCATTTAGCACTAGTGTCTATGGGAGTTTATTTGCAGGTATGCACCCTTAAATGTGTTATCCTAATGGCTGGGAAAGGAGCAGTTTTAAAAAATCCTCCAAAGCCATGGATCACTATTCCACTAACATGACTAAGAAAAAAGGGGGAAAAAAATTTGCCTATCTTATTTTTAAGAACAAAAAAGAAAAACAAAAATTCTCAGCACGGCTTCGATCGCAGGACCTTCGGCAGGAACATGATGAAAGTCCAACATTTAACCAATCAAGCTATCAAAGCGCTCTGGTTGGAAGGGCAGTTATAAACCTGATATAGAGTCGCAATGGTGTTGATGCAATGCAGTAACATTTAGCAGTTGGCAGATACGGATGCCATAACGATAGCCACATCATTGGTTTTGTTCACTGAGGCTTTACTTTATATGGTGAGAAAGTAACAAAATGGATGAATTTAATATTATAGATGCAATATATCCATGTGCAAAAAAGTGACAAAATTGCACGGTTATGAAAACTAATAGAACAGTATGCAGAGTATATTTCACTACATTTTATGCTTTATTATATTCTTAAATTGTTTATAACTGTATAACAGCCATCAAACTGATATTGGGCAGCCATGGGAGGGTGAGATTCTAAGAGACAACAGAATGGCCTTTAGCACATTTTGGAAACAAACTCTTCCAATGTAATTTTTTTTTAAATTTACTACTTCAAGAAGAAATGTTGACAGATATCTCTGTATGAATTATAAAAAATATGTAAATTTCCCCAAAGGTCATCGGGAATCGAATCAAAATCATATTTGGTCTCATTATATTTGCAAGTCTACAGTATTTGTGAATAATTGTGAAAGTGGTGATAAACAAAGTACCGATGGTCTGATATGAATTAATAGATATTTTTGAAATGATGAATTGTTTGGTTAGGTGAGAGAAGCGGCAGCAGCCCTGCTAGCTTTCCACAAGAAGAGAAATGACCAAGCATCGCAGACGGTCCTCCTGAATGAATTCAGTCAGATCAAGCTTGTCATATCCCTCTGGAAGATTGCCGGCAAGAAGGCCAAGACTTATCGGATGTAAGACCTTGTAACAAGTCCCTTGTATTCAATGTCCATTCTTTCACGGTTCCTACAGTTATGGAAAATCCTGGACTTTGAAGCGTCATGGAAAGTTATGGAAAAGTCATGGAATTTTCTTATTTACAAGGAGTCATGGAAAGTTTTTTTTCAAGAAAACAGCCAGGAAAATGTCATGGAATCCTGCACAACTCATACGTGATGATGCACAATATTGCCATTCGCCAAGCAATGAGTTAAAAGTCATCATCTTATTTAGTATGAGTTTGAGTTCTGAGTACTAAATCACTGCAAAAAGAAAAAGAAGTGACTTTGATATTTATTTAACATTTTCAACAGTGTTGCCTCTAATGTTTTATGTAATTTAGAGATATTCCTCATCCATTGAGAACACCAGAGACCGAGGTTTGCTTGTTCACCAAGGATGACGACAAACTCGACACTGAAGCTACAGCAAGACACTACCAAGAACTTCTACAAAGCAAAGGTGTCACAGAGGTCAATGAGGTAGGTCAAAGGTCAGACATATATCCTGTTATGCATTTATAGAAAAGCGTATGTGAGCCAGTGGAATATCTCCTTACTCAACCCTATTGCTTGGAAACATAGCGCCCTCTACACTTTTTGTAAAGAGTCTGTTGAAAAGACGGAACAATAAAAACAACTGATGAAATGTTGATTTGGTTGTGTTTTATTTCAGATCATGCCCCTGCAAGTACTGAAGAAGGAGTACAAGGAATTTGAGTCCCGAAGACAACTAGCAAAGCGTTATGACATCTTCCTAGCTGATGAGCGAGTCTTCAGACTGATGCATGTCCATCTGGGCAAAGAATTCTACCGAAGGAAAAAGTAAGACTTTAAAAGCTGCTGAAGATGGCCACTTCAATCACTGCAATCGTCTCCGTGCGTAACCACTTAAGGGGTACTTGTGCACAGACTCCATAGGGTTGGGAAAGTCTGATGTCTTGCCATATTTCCCTCTCTGTTTAGTCGTATTTGCCATCCGTTCTATTGCATTGATCCAAGTTGATGTCACTTTCTATTACATGTACAGGCAGCCCAGCTAACAAACATTTAAAAAAAAAAATTAATTCAATTTAGCCAAATGAATTCATGCACATATTCCATACAAGTTTGTATTTTTTCTGTTAAACTTGTAGGTACCCCATCACCGTGGACATCAAGAAAGGGGATTTGAAGTCAGAAATTCTGAAAGCCATCAACGCGACGTACTTCATCAACACAAATCGTGGTAACACAAAGTGAGTAATTTGGTTCATTTTCTTCAGGTCAAGATGCATGTATTACTGGCTACTGCTGGTGGATAATAGTGGAAATTTCATTGCAAAATCTGGCGAGATAAATAAATAAGCCCACCCTTCTCATAGAATCCTAAATCATTGTAAATCATTTCTCATAAACAAATAAGTGCTTATTTAATGGTATAATATTCCTCCACGATCCATCAATATCCAGCAGAAGTATTTGGAAAAATTTGCAGGATTTACCTTCAAAGTATTATGGGAGATCGACCCTACCCCCACCATGCATTATTTTCTGATATTGCTCTGAATTCTTGTACATGCCAAGCCTTTCTGAGTTGGCACATTGATGTGTTGTGGATGTTTTCAGACCAATTTTTAAAAAATCAGGCATATTTTATGCAAATTTTTCAGTGCGTTTAACCAAATATCGTGTGTTTCCATTGGCTTTGTGTAGGAACTTGCACTCATTTATGCATGAAAGTATGGAATATTATAGATCATATCGCATTTCCATGCTCAGTCAAATGACAAAACAAAATACCGCCTGCAAGAGTACTCTAACCCTCATCTCTCATGCAGAGTACAGGATTTTTTAGGAGTGAACAAAAAAGTCATGAAACATTAAGAGTTAATCTCTGCATTTTTCTTTTGTTTTGTATTAGTCACCTAACAGCTGCTCACACCGGTATGACCATAGACCAAGTAACAGAGAACATCATGGCGGCCGTGCAAGGCGTGACGGCCAGTATCCCCTATGGCTGGTACAACATCAAGTCTCTGTATGTCCGCACCGATGAGTCTGTCTCACTGACATTGCACACATCATTGGTGTTCAAAGGATGGGATACGAATACCGATGTAAACCACAGGGATATCTGGAGATGTAAGTTTCAATTTCTTGAAATGGTAATTTTGACTCTCTTAACGACAGGCAGAGTGTTCTATCTAGAACAAAAAAAGGTTTGCTTCACGTGGTGTCATCGCAAATTTACACTTACTGCTGATTTTACCGTCCGTAACTTCATGTATTATTTGTATTTTTCTCGGATTTTTTCTTGTATTTGTGTTGGGAGTAGGTTTTTTTTACAGAAACCTCGGCCAGCCCAAGTTTATGGGTTTTGCTTCCAAAAAAATATATTTCTCAGCTAAGAACCAGCTACAAGAAAAATAACTGAATGACTTCTAGCTTGTTACTTACTTTTGCACAGCAAAGTTTTGTTCTTACTGTTTCGTTTGAAAAACTCCCCCAGTTATTTTGGGACATTTGTCAAGCAAAAATTTTTCGACAGTGTGAATTACCAACTGTATGTGCATGTACAGTTTGCATAACTTTAAGTACATGGTGTCTAACAATAAAAACTAACCCAATAGAGCAGCTTCTTTTTCACAGCTTTTAAAAAATGCATTGCATTTAGCTATACATATTTAGAAAGTATAGTCCATTAGCTTTTCAACACCAAACAAATCTTTCCAATTGGGTTATATTTTTATTGAGTTATGACTAATTAAAATAAGTGCCCATATTTCAATCTGTCCACGGTCTCAATTGTCATTTGTTAGGAATGTAATGGATTTTGGGTGGGGGGTAGTTTTACTTTCTTTCATGTTTTAATTTTTCTTTCTTTAGTTGGTTCAGTTAATTTTTTTATTTCTTAAAACAATGGTCATTTATCCATTTAGAAATAATGGGATGGACTATTTGATCAACTTCTTATATGATTTTTAAAAACTATGAAAAATAGGGCGCTTTGAGGATTCAGGGTTTTTTTTAGACACCCTGTAGACTGTAGTTGGGAAAGTTGATGATATTATAATTAAAGAGAGTTGTGATTAAAAGTAAAAAGACTAGCTATTCAAAGGTGTGCAGCAAAGGCATACTTGGTCATCATTCTTTCCCTGATGCTTTGGGTTGAATTGTGATACGACTCCTGATTTGACTTGTGACTAACTTGTACTTGTCTTGACCAACAGTGAAAAAGCAACTAGAAGTGACCGGGGATAAAGCATTGCAAGCCAAACCGAGAATCTCGCCCGAAGAAGACGCCAAAGCGAAGAGGTTCAGCAAACGTTCCAAGAAGAATCCAGCCACGAAAGAAGCGGCCAAGAAATCTCAAAGCTCGGAGGATGCAGGAGGTCAGAAGAAAGCGACAAAACGAAAAGCTGCATCAGAAGAAGAGGTTGATGATCTTAAAGATCTTGTGAAGAAACCAGCGAGAATGCTTGTCAAAGAAAAACCTAAAGTGGGCACATCCTTGAGGAAAGCCCAGATGGCCAGAAAAGCAAAACCAGGGAAAGTAACGCCCAAGAGCCTGTCAGCTAAGAAGACAAAAGGAAAGTAGGTTGAAGAAACTGTTGGATTAGGCCACATCTGTTGGCAGCAACAACTGTTTTTCCCTTCTTTTGACATTCTGTCATTTTCAACTGTTTTTTTTTATGCAAAAAAAGAACAGAGAAAGAATTCACATGCCCAAGATTCACGATTGTATATCATTTAATTAGTCAATTCATTCATTTGTTTTCTATATCTTTGGCCAAAAAAAATAGTTCTGCTGCCGATTACATGGCATTTGAAAATTATGGCATTTGAAAATTACATGGCATTATATTACATGGCCGATTACATGGCATTTGAAAATGGGATACAATGTAGATAGGTAGGGATTTTTTTTGGGCTATTTTTCTGTGTACGATCATATGGAGGCATGTGCATGTAGTCAAGGGTAAAAGGTAGTAATTTATGGTTTGGGTGTTTTTTTTCCCCCTAATTTTTTCCCAAAATGAGGGTAGGGGCTGTCAGAATAGGGTAGGTTGGGAAACCGTAAGCAGAACTGGGTTTTTTTTTGGCCTTTCAGTTATCAAAATTCTCTTTTTTTTCTGTAAGAAAGTCAACGATAATCTATCAGGCAAAGTTACTTTATAAGCAAAATTGTGTTGGACAGGAAACACCGGTTTCAAACCTGAACCAATTAATTATACAAATGTAATTTACATATTGTAATATTAGAATATCTGGATGAATAAAAACATGAGGGTCAAAATCATCAATGAATTGTCTTTTTTTTTGGTAAATAAATTAACAATATTTTTGTGATATAAACATGATTTTTGAAATGAAACACAAAAAACACAGTTTACTTTTCTATTTTGCATTTAAGAATACATAATCTAATAATTTTGTTTGTCTTACTATACATTATTAAGCACACAGGGAGTAACTTCAATGCAAGGCCAAGTATAAAACCAATTTTAAATGTATTTACAGTCTACAAAAGGAAGACAAGAAAGTTGCAAGTCAATTAGAAAATGGCCATTTACACTTTCCACATCAAATACACGCTTAAAATGTTCTGCTCTGATATTAAGCCACAACATTGATACACGGAAAAAGAACGTTGACCTCTTTGGCAACCTACATGCATATTAAAGCCACGTCGCGTGAATGTGAATGGCACCAGATTGGTATGTTTACATGCATGGGGGGGGGGGGGGGTTGATTGGACACTACACAGATTTTTCTAACATGAAATCCTAAACCATTAAACATTCCTCAGAAACCTCATAATGCTGCAACAATGGCAGTCAATTAGTGAAGCCTGACTACACTTCTATGTATTTTCCAAAATTCTGAGCAAATACTCTTCTGAAAATCCAGAGAAAAAAAATGCAGAGTTGATTGACTTCATTTTACAAAAATCCAGAAATCTTTATCGATTTTTAGAAAGAAAAAAAATGGATTTCTGCAACAGATGTTCCAGCCCAATAACACTACTTATAATGTCCATGTCAAGAGGCCATTGAATTCAGATGTTTTAAACACACTGCAAAAATAATTGGTAAAGGTCTGAAAGTTGACTTGGATTGAATGCAAGTTATTGAGCTATAAATAGACTTCAATGATGAAGCTTCCATCAAAATCCTTCAAATGTCCCATTTATGCTTACTATGGTGATAAACCTGGCGAAAATTTTCTTTTTGCACAATCAGATTGTGCAAATTGAACGCTAGTGAAATTTCGCTTGTGAAATTTCCAATCAGATTAAACCAAAACTTTTCAGTGATGTTGACCAACCTTCTGCATCGGGCTCTACAAAGAGTACAAAGCAAAATTCTAATATAACAAATAACTGTGTAAATATTTTATTAAAAATAGAAGTTAATTGAAAATACAACAAATTGAAAATGCCAAAATTTAAGAACCAGTTGTGCGAACCATACATGTAATGTCAAGCAGCAAGTACTGCTTACAAAAAAACACACATTGATTTGGTTGCATTTAAGTCTGTTAAAACAGATAAGCCCTCTGTAAACATATTTTCATGCATTAATTTAATGTAACCAGTCCAGGTAAAATCCAACACATCTCTACTTTCCATCACACTTATTTGGCTTACGTTGTGCATGACGATCAGAAAAAGGTGTCTATAAACACCATGAATTCCAAAAATAAAATGCTGTGATGTTTTAAGACCCTGCAAAATTTAATCCAATAAATCAAACAGTTGTGAATCCATCCCCTTTTACTTCAATACAGGTAATTCTATTTTTAATAGAGAGCACTTGATCTAAAATATATAACGCATATTACTGCATGCAAATCTATCCAATATATTTGTTTAATTGGTGTAGTTTTCATAATCCATTCTGTCAAATAATGAACAATAATTACATTATAAAGCAATTACACTGCTGTATAATGCCATTTCAAACTTCATATGCCAGCCATACTACATTAAGACTACCGGTACATAATACATGTATATGCGCTCGGTGGTATTATCATAGAGTCAGTATGCAAACTTAAGATTGTTGTGATTGTTTGCCTTACAATGAGAGCAGTGAAGTCTGGATCCCACTTTCTCCATTTCATTTAAAACTTCCACAGGAGGCAAGAACCAGTCTAGAATTGACAGTATGTTTCCACACCTTATTACCACACATTTAAGAACAACTGCAAACAAGCAAAGTGTCCTTCATTGAAAGCAGTGTGATTCATTTTCACCAATACAATGTAATGGGGGTACTCGCACATACAGCCCATATCTATGTTTATAAATATGTCATTGAATGTAGCATTCTGGCATCAGTTTGAGGCATTTTCCATCGATGTATAGATCAGTCCAAAGTTTGGTGAAGACCACATAACGGTGACATAATGAACATACATGTAGATCAAGCTAATGACGGTAAAACCAACTATTTAAACTCTGAGATGTTTACTGTTATATTAATAGCATTTAATTATTGAGTTGACATTTCTAAATAAGTAAATTTTTAATGTGAGAACTCTTCACAAAAGTCGAAGAGTCCACTCCATATTATTGCTTGCGTTGTAGGCTTTCATAGGAAAAAATAGTTTTACAATTGTTTTTCGTCAATGCTGACATGACCTGTGCTACGTGGCAGCAAAACATTCATAAGACAAAATAATATGATAAGCACTATGATTTGGGGGACTCAAGTTGATGTCGTTTCTTGCCTTTCCACCTCTAAACGACCCTAATTCAATATCTACAAGACTGATTGGCTTCCAGTCCAAACCATAGAGCTATATTAATTTACCCTCACTTGAACTCTTAAAACCGAACTAGGGCTTCACATCCCATGTAAAGTGAAAGAAACTGATTTTTACAGTCCTGAATCTATTCAAATCCTACAAAGCCTGGGAAATCAGAGTAAAAGTTTTAAAATTGGCTTGGTGGTAATGTAAAAAAAAATAGAGCAGACCAACACACAGACACAGTCTAGTAAATTAATTCTTGGAAGGCATTTTGGAGTCGTGTTCCACCGGAGAACTTCTGCAGCACCAGTTCCAGCTCCTGGAAATCTGTCAGTCTCCAGACGTCTTTGTCTTTGCGGAGGGCAGTGTTCGGCAGTTTCCGAACCTTGACCACCGTCGCTGGCTCGCAGTTGAGTTCTCGACAGCAGGTTAAGACGAGATTGGAGAATGTACGTTCGTTGCGGTCGATCTCAATTTCGATGAAGTCAGTCTCAGCCGAGTTGGCCACCCTGACTTTCAGCACCAGTTCTACAGTTGGGAAAATAGGACAATCAATCACTCCACCAACTGACCAATCCATCAAAAGATAAATTAAATGGCAAATTAATAAATCATTATCAATAAATCACAACAGATCAATCTCAACTTAAATCTGGCATTTGCCTCCGAAGAAGGCCTTGCTAAGGCTGAATATCAGGCCACTTTAAGTTTTTAATTTAAGTTAAATCACTGAAATGACATCTCACTCATCTTGCATGTTTCAATACATGTATATATGTATATGGACATCATACTGAAATTCTATGTTAAACTTTCATGGGGCATCAAGCCACATGTATGGAAAGAAACAGGACGGTTTCAACCTTCCTAAAAAAATGAACTGAATCCTCAATTTTAATATGATTTTTCACACACCCTAGGGGTTGGGGTTAAGGACCTTGGAGAGTTAGCTTTAATTTACTATTGCTTCCTATGTACCCTACAATTGAACAAGCTTTCAACAAGACCAGCACCTGATGAACAATATGTATGTATGTTTATTCACTAATGCAGCAAACAGAATTAGAAGCAATTCAGAGGTAGACCATGCTCCCATTCTCGAAGCTTAAGGGAGGGTGTTCTTGAAGTGTACATGTAGGAGCATTTTGGTAACCCTATATTGGTCAAAGGAGCATTGCCAACTCAGTAATGACTTCTAATTGAGGTTGCTATGTGAGTCTATGTCATCACCAACCTTCCGATGAGTCTTGAGATAACCTGCTTGTGATTGGTTGGTCATGATTCATGTCAGCCAATGGGCTTTTGGCTGTTCCATTTGTCTTGGAAAGGTAGGGAAAAGGTGGGTGCTTGATGTAGTTTGGTGTGATAGGTAATGAAGAATTAGAAAGTGTCTCTGGTGTGCCTGTAGAATGAGAGAATGAGAGCCAAAAATGAGTGTCAAATGGTGAGAATTAACGAACAAAAACCTGCAGTTACGAGAGTCAACTTATGTTTGGAATGGAGGGGGGCTAAGAGCCAGACGCCATAGCAATAATAAATTCTAAGCTAATTCAAATACAAGTGCTAGTCTTGTGCAAAAACTGTTTCAAAAGATTCCTACAAGAGAACCCTCTTTTCCAGGACACTGCAAAATAAAACTACAGCCTTGATTCAATCCTCTGATTTTTAAAAAATTGTCACTGTAAATCTAAATAAGCCTAAGCAATATTCCCATGCCAATGAAAAAACTAATCTATTGTTCCTTGTAAAACTGAATTACAACACAGACAGTACTTCTCTAAAACCCTAACTCCCTGTGTGTGAAAAGTACTTGCAGGATTCAGGTCTGTTAAGTTTAAGGTCAGGGTTAAGGTCAGGTGTGATCATGTCAAACACTGACCTCCCAATAAGGAGTGGAGTTCTTCTTTGTCCGTGAGCTGGGCAGCGATCTCTCCTTTCCCATTGGTCAGTGAGCGGTCAGCTCCATGGGTCAGTAGATATCTCACTATGGTGGGATGGCCTCGCTTGCTGGCCCAGTGTAGAGCTGTCCTGAAATTGAAGAACCAAGTACGATTTTCATGATAGTATAATTACTAAAGTTGCTAAAGAACACATACAGAATTCTGTGAATATTGATTTGTTTCTTGAGTCACTGTTTAAATAAGAACCATTATTTTTGACTTCCCCATGTTGGCTGGCTAAGTTCAGTCAAAAGGCTACAATTAGATTATTAATCACGTTAACTATAAATAATGTACTGATGCAGAATATTTGTTCTGACAACAGAAATAACATGGAAAAAATGTTACAACCGGACGCCACTTTGGAAAAAAGATTTATTTGTTTACCTTGTACCTCATTATGTGAGAACTGTAAGAATATTTTGACAAAGTCTTAAAGAGAGACTTGTACTTTTTTTGTAGGCGAATGTGTGGCCAACCATGGGCCAACTTACTGAATTTATGTCACCACCTTCGTTTATCACGCGTCGGTTGAGGGCTTCAACATGCAGTGACATGTACAAATTCAGTAAGTTGGCCACACATTCGCCTACAAATCTTTCTTAAGACTGTCAACATATTTCTTACAGTCTTTCACATGAAAGTAGCATGCTGAGGTTCAAGGTGTCAGGTTGCAACATTTTTTCCAATAACATGATCATGATTATTCAAATGACAGATCATAAGAAAGATGCTGAAAATAGTGGCACTAGTAATAGTATATACTAGGGCATACTTAACTAAGTTAACTAACAACATCATGAACATCATGAACATGCAAAAGTTATGTTTTTATTTAATTAGATTTAGAGCCATTGGCCTGAATTGTAATAATTTAATTCATTTAATTACTTTAATTTGAAATATAAACTTTTCATATTCAACAATATGTTTGCACTTAACCATATGAGTACAAACTACAATACAATTGAAATGGGAAGGATTTATTATTTATTTATTAATTTATATTTATAATGACTAGATTATACAGAAAATTTACCATCCATTTATTCGATGTTGTGCATTCACATTGACTCCAAGTTGAAGCAGTTTTTCCAGCATATCCTGATCGCCTATGCTTGCTGCTTCACGGAACTTATCCTCAAGATCCTTGGATTCATCCATTCTTAAAGAAATGTCTTTCTAAGTTCTAGTTCTGCTTTCAGAAAGAGTGCGGGGTCACTTCGTTTTCTGTGGGCAGTGGGAACAAGTGCGTACATAAACACGTCCTGTCCCTAGCTGTATAAATTTATATTTACACGTGTACTGTTTATTCTGTATAATCATCATACGGTTCATGTCCTTGGAAGATTCCATTTTAAACACCGGTAATACCGTAAAATTTCTTAAACCTACATCAACGAAATATTAACTTTTTGAAAAACTTATTTTAAAATACATTAATCGAATGTTACGAGTTTTGTATTTAAATTGCTTGTACAATATATTGTTTGAATGATTGTTTGCAGTCATTTGACTTAATTTAATCCCATTACCCGTACCCCAAATACCCCTTTTCAATGAAAATGAAAAATCAAGCCTGTGAGGACGAGGTTGATTCTCATTCTGATATTGGTAGCCCGCACATTATTTCTTCAATGTGGTTACACGTACAATCAATGTATGCAACCAGCGCGCACAACCTCTTTTCCACAACAATTCAGCTTCCAAAATGCAGTCGGCGGCGCAATTACTCGACGAGTTGATGGGCAAAAATCGAGATATTTTGCCTTCAGAAAGGTCAAAAGAAATCAGATGGGACCATCCCTCGGTAAGTGGTAAATTCGTTAAAGTTTGGAAAGTATTTTTATGGTAAGATGTTTAAATTTCGGCTTATTTTGGGGGGCATAAATAAAATTGAAGCGATGGAGGAATCGGCGCTGCACGCTGTGGTTGTTGAACAGCGCCCTCTCTAGACTCACAATCATTTTGTATTTATGTCCGGGTCGGTGCAGCATGAATTTAGGTATTATGAAATACAGACTCATTAGTAGTATTGTGCATGCTCATGCATAGATAATTAGAAGAGGGACCGGTCACGTGTGAGAGGGTTTAACCAATAAAAGGGAAAAAGAGTAAGATTTTCATACGAGTCCGATTTTCATATGACATTGGTACATACATACTCTGTGCGGAAGCGAACGCGAATTTGTGATGTCATGGCATGTATTTGCGATGCAAATTCGTAAAAAGTTGAACATATTTCAACTCGGGCAAATTTCGCAGCGAATGTTTCATGACGTCAAATTCGCTTTACATTCGCATGCAGTATGAACCGGGCGACGTCTCAGGCATGCAGTGAATTTTGGGATAGAAATTGGGTTAAAAAACCCACAACCACGTGTGCGCGCGCCATGACGTGTTGTGCATAAGCCGCAGATACTGCCACAATGAAAATACGTCCTTTATCATGCATGATGGGATATTTACATTGTGTTGCCCCCTAAATTGTCATAGATGGCGGTCTATTTATTTATGTTTATTTATTTCTTATTTTGATTTGGTAGACTATTCAGTGGAATCCACTGGTCTCCCATGGGGCCCAGTAAAGAGAACACGGTGTGAAGAAATTACAGTTTTAGAGGTGGGAGGAAAAGCCCAGAAGAGTATTCTGAGGAAAACCCACGGAATCAGGTAGGGACTGAAAACTCAATCCACATATTGGCCCAGGTGGGATTCGAACCGGGGTCACAGCTGTGGCAGGCGAGGAAAGTACAAGGGCAGACCAATGTAAAACAGCACTTGTTTTCAATGAGCCATGGCCTAACTCAATAAATATTTACCCAATTGGAAAGATTTTGTTGTTATTGAAAAGCTAATTAACTTTTCTCTTCAAATATGTATCGATATTTGCATTAATTTTTTTAAAAGCTGTGAAAACTATATACAGGTTACCCTATTCACATTCGTTTCTTTCAGTTTCATTTCTTCTTTTTTCAATTCATCTTTTATTTTGTTTTCAGGTCTGCAAAAATTTCCTTTGTGGTTTCTGCCCACATGAACTCTTTATCAACACAAGATCAGATCTTGGTATGTTCCTTTTAGAAAATCAAGCATTCTCCCAAACCCTACTCTAGGCCTCCCCCCCCCTCCCCCCCCCCCCCCCCCCCCTAAATAATGTGGCTCAAATATTGGACTTCCTCAGCTTAGTTTGTGAGCCACACAGCGGTGAAAATCAGGATTGTTTTTTTTTCACTAAGATACTTAGCTACCTGGTTAATAATGACCAGGGAAAATCAAAAGGTCAAGTGTTATGACCTGTGACCCAGAGAAAATTACTGCAATCTTTTTCGGACAAACTCACTTTAAATTTTGCCTGAAAGTTACAGCAAAACTAAACACCTACAGAAACAGAATTCAGTTTTCCTGGCTATTAACCAGGTAAGTATCCTCCATGGTGAATATCAAACGAAAAAACAGTCCTGATTTTGATTTCCTCAAAATCAACTTTTCTCCACAAATAGCGCATGACCGCTATGTGGCTCGCAATATGGAGGAAGTCTAGTATTTGAGCCACATTTATGGGTCAACCCGAACCCCAAAGGGCCCAAAGATTTTTCATATAACATCTGAAACCTTCAGATCCAACATTGAGCATTTAACCGGTACTCAGTAGCATGGACTTTGCACTTGAACAAAATCAATATGTCCAGCCCATGTAGAGTGTCCTAACCCTGCTGTTCTGAATCCTACACATTTTCCCAAATCTTTTGGAAATTGTAGAGGATTTGAGATGTTAATGGCTTATCGACTTCATGATATGTGCCTGGCAGAAACATGCCATTAAAATTTACTGAGACTTATAACACTTGACAGTGGTAATTTTGGGATGTTTTCAACAAGAGAGATTGAGTACTGACGTTATTTATACAATGAGATCTACTGTGTTTACATAGCATTGGAGCTGTTTGAGAGATTGAACTCATAATGATTTATCTCCTTGTTGTATAGGTCCTTGTGAAAAGCTTCATGATGAATCCTTGAGGAGGCAGTAAGTTTCTTTGATAAATGGGAACAACTCAATTTAATCTTCCCCCAAGTGTTCATTCTAAAGAAAATCACTTCACAATTATTTTCTCTGTTTGAAATAGTGAGGAAAAAACCCTGATGATATCAAAAGTTAGTTCAATCAGTTTCTGATTGTTGAAATGTGATATTTACGTAAACAAGTTTTAAGCAAAAAAAAATTAAATCAGATCAAATGTTGTCGGGTGAGTAACTGAATTTATAATGAGTTTCAAATTGAGGCAAAATATTTGTAAATGGATACATTCCATGCTGACATATCAGTTTGCAGTAAACATAGAATTGGACAATCTGCAGAGGGAGCCATTATTTCAGAGGATGATTTGATTGTGTTGATAACCACTCAAATCTCTCATGATGCCAGACAGGGCATACTGGGTTTCCTTCTTAACTGTACTTCTCCTTATTCACACCACTTTCTAACAAAACTTGAGGTTTTTTTATAGAAAGAGCACCAAATATAACATCATGGATACTTGTATTTTAATTTTTAATGGAATTACAAGTTACTACTTTTATTTGTAGATGTTGCCTTTCATTGATGCACTTTTTACCTTTTTAGGTTTGAACAGTCAACGGGTCGCGACAAGGTTCGATACGAGGACGATTTTCTGTCGTACCTGCAACAGATTGTGTCAGAGGTCGATCGTCGAATACGCAAAGGACATTCCAGACTAGCTCTCAGTAATGCACAACAGCAGGTAAAAATGCAATTAAAAATCCTCCAAGTCTTCTGCACCTCAAAACCCGTTTTGCAAACCCATTTTTGACCATAGAGCTAGCACCTACACTTCAAATTCCTTTGAGGTAGTCTTCTGTGGAGCATGGATAACACTTCAAATCAATGCACAGTTCTGTTTGTGTGGTCAAGCTCAGGGCAAGCAGGCAGATTCAGTCACGCTTCACTGCTCTACACAATGCTATTTTGTGTGTGCAGTGACTCACAGGGTTACGCAGTTACCGTAACATTTCATATCCCTTCACCTGAAACTGACATGAAGGGTTTTAAAGGGTTTTATGCATTGCTCTGAATAGTGACTTCCCACTAAGAGATTATTGTTATGTATTATTATATTGAGTTTATGTAGAAATATCGATGGTCCTGTATGGCATACTTAAGGTTGGACATCACAAGTGCACTTGTTCGTTATAGAGCTGCAGTGTAAGTCGAGTCTGTCACAGGTCCTAACAAGTCATCCAGTCTCCAGGCATGCAACTTTTCCTCGGATCTGCTGATTTCCTCGTTTTTTACTTCTCGTGAATGCCATTACAAATTGAGAAACACTGTACAAAGTCTTGTGTGGTTTGGGATTTCCTCGTTTTTTTCTAAAGCCCCAGTTGCATGCCTGAGTCTCAAGTCAGGTAGCAAGCTCTGAAATTAATTGCAACAAAAGAATTCCTTTATTTTGTTTATCCCTTACTTGTGACTGGACTAGCGTCTGAGGACTTGTGATTAACGTTTGAATTGTAATGGGCTTGTGATGCAGAAATCATTCAAGCCGATCACATTTCAAGTTAAGTGGTGAGTCATTTAATTAAGCTGTGACAAAGGTATTTCCTTGTTTATTTCATAAAGTTCTTCCACCAAAAAGCATTTTTTAAATAAAATTACCCGACAAACAATTATTTTCTCTTTAACTTGCGTTTAGTTAAGCGCACCCAACCAAGCCAAAAACGAGGAGCAGATCCGCATGCTAACAGAGCGCATCAACACTCTGGTGGAGAAAGCTGAGGAGTTAGGATGCAGGGGGGAAGTGGAGGAAGCTCAGGGAACGATGAAACTGTGTGAGCAGCTCAAGGAAGAAAGAGATGATCTCAAATTAGTAAGTTACCCCACCCCCAATCAACACCCAACCCCCACCTCCTACCCTCCCCCACCCTCACAAGAATTCACCCTAACTCCCTACTGTCTGTTACTAAGAACTGAACCAAGTCCGCCAAAATCCATCACTGACCCTTCTTCAAATAATGCTTCAGGACCAAATTCGCTGGAATCCACCTCAAGACGAACAATACTATAGTTGGATTTTGATGGACTTGGTACAGATGCCTTGTCTGCCAAAATCCCACCTAAAAGGGGGGGGGGGGGCTGGATTTTGATGGAGTTGGGAAGGTTAGGGGTAATAGAAAAGAGAAAGCAGAGGAGTTGGGATGCAGGGAGGAGGTTGAAGAAGCTCAGGGAACTAAGAGACTGTGAGCAGCTCAAGGAAGAGAGAGATCACCTCAAACTAGTGAGCACCCCCCTCCCAGTCAATGACCAAACCCCACCTCTAACCCTCCCCACCCTCATAAGCATCAATAGGTAAGAGTTAGCAGAGGAGTTACGATGTAGCAGGAAAGTGCCAGGCCTTACCAAATTGTTCATAGAATGACCCTTATATGATGTCTCCCCTTTCAGGCAGCAAGTCTAGCTCTAGATGCTGTCCTCTCCCAGGAGAAACAGATGGAGGTCTGTGAGGTGTGTGGAGCGTTCCTCATCGTAGGTGACGCCCAGTCAAGGGTAGACGATCATCTCATGGGCAAGCAGCACATGGGGTATGCTAAGATCAAGGCTACAGTGGAGGAACTCAAGGTATAACTACTCTAATATAAATATTGATCAACGCTGAAAAAAAATAATTTAGGAGACCTTAAAAAGTTGACCTCTTAATATCAATTGTAATTCAGTAACAATGAGTTAATTTGTATTAAATGGCGACATGATCTGTGGAAGCCAGACCTTATAAGGGCATGCCTTACACCATTAAAAAAATTGAATACAAGATATAAGTATAAGATAGTAAGACACACCTGTTTACAGTGACAAACAAGCACCCAAACTAACTGAAGACGGACTGAAATTACATAGCACATAGGGTCAGTGGCGTTTGTGCTTGGATTACTGCAATGTTTAAATTTAAAACTGCTACAGCTAATATTACCTGAATCAATAAAAATCCACCCCCCCCCCGGTTTCGGGGGATTTCGGCGGATTCAGGATGCCTCTATATTGCACAAACTGGGGGATTTTGATGGATTCAGGATTGTAAGCCTAGCGGAACTGGCGGATTTTGATGGATTCAGGATACCTCTATATTGAGCTGTTGGGGGACTTTGGTGGATTCAGGATCTCAACAGAATTTGGCTATGTTTGTGGTCAAGTAAATACTGCTTGTAGCCCTGCCAAGTCTTTCACATGCTGGGCGGTTGGGAGCTTGTGACTGTGGCTTATTAGGCCTCGGCATATAACAGTGGATTATGTACATAACTCATCCGGACAAAGCAATGCTGGGGTCGCCACCTCCATTCCTATGTCCTATGAAATATCGGACAATGGCTCATTGAAATAGCCCTTCCAGACAATGCAAACGTCATAGTATACATAATTACCCTCGGCCCAAGTTGAAAGGAAAAACAACACATCATATCCACCGGCAGTTGAACCATGCAAGTGGTGTATTTTGATGGATCCTATGCAGCAACACACATCACAATTTTCATGCGAGCATGGTATCCTGAATCGTCAAAATCCACCGGAAATTTAGGTGATGGATTTTGAAGACTCTATGAAAACATACCGTAATTTTTTTTTTAAGCCAGCATGGTATCCTGAATCGGCCAGAATCCATCAAGATTTTGCTGGTGGACTTTGGCGGATTCAGGATACCTCCAGTATCTACACTGTGGGATTCTGATGGACTCAGGACACCAACATTTTTTGCGTGACAAAATTGGTGGATTTCGGCGGATTCAGGATACTTTCTAGTAAAAGAGTCCAAGGGGTTAGGGTTAAAGTACCTTTTGTGATATTTTGTTGGTGGGAAAAAGTGACTGATTTGACATTAGAATTTGTATCGATGATTTTGTGCCGTGAAGAGCCAACTTTTTGTTGGTTGTAACTTTGACCAATAACCCATTTGGATTATGACTGCGATAGGTATGTCTCAATATCATGCAGCCTACACACAATTGACATCTTTTGATGAGAGCAAAGATTTTAATATCCACCTATAATTATCAATTTTTTTGTGGAATCCATTTCTGGACAGACTAAACGCATGCAGCCAATCCTGGAGCGCGAGGAACAACGACGCAAAGAGCAGGAGGAGCGGGAAAAGAAGCTGGAAGAAGAACGTGAGGAACGTCGCAAGAGACGTGAGGAACGTGAGAAGGAACGTGAGAAGGAACGCGAAGAACGGCGCAAGAAGGAGAAAGAGCGGGAAAAGGAACGAGAGAAGGAACGTGAGAGGCGACGGTCACGTTCCAGGGACAGGCGGAGGACCAGATCACGTAGTAAGGATCGACGACGACGGTCACGAAGTCGCGATAGAAAGCGTAGCCGTAGCCGTGACAAGAACCGTAGACGCAGCAGGAGCCGCAGCAGGCACAGGTTTGTATATATGCAATTTGACCTAATAAACCGATTTGTGAAATTACAGTAATGACTGACCATTTGACCATACTGTTCAATTATGACAAAATTGATTTGCTGGCCAGACAATTAATATATCGCTTTAATTTCTCCTTGGATCAGCTGATTATGTCTTTTTTTATTCCCAGTTCTGCCATTCAAAATTGAAATCACTGTACAAAGTTTTCTGAGCTTTGGAATTTCCTCTTTTGTTTTGTGAATTTACAGTTCCATGCCTGCTTTATGTAACAAGTGGCTGAAGATGCCATTATGAAGATGCAAATCAAGGCTGTCCCTTTTTGGTGGATGTTCCAAGCTGGTACATTCGCTTAACTAATACACACAAATTTAACGTAGTTATCATTTTTGTTTTCTTACTGTATGATATTATAGACGAAGCAGAGATAGAAGCAGGGACCACCGACGTCGTTCACGGTCCGGCAGCCGTGACAGACGCCGTCGTTCCCGTAGTCACTCGCGCTCCCGTCGACGATCCAGGTCACGGTCGCGCCATTCGCGCTCCAAGCGCAGCCACTCAGGGTCCCGTAGCCATGACTCCAAACGCCGCGAGTCTAAGAGCCAGGATAATACTGGACAGGAACAGGGGAAGGAGTCATCAGAGAAACAGGCCAATCATGAGACTAAGGATGTCACGCCAAAGGAGGACAACAATCACGACAACGTTGAGCATGGTGGAACCACAAACGAGGCCACTAACAATTCACATGAAGGTAAGATTAATTTTCTAATCTCGCTAGTATCAAGAAAACCTTGCAAAAGTACCACTACATTGGTGACAATGTGAAATGAAGCTTTCATCATATGACACCTGCATTGGCTCTAATGTGTTATAATAGCACATAAAAACTAACAAAATCATTTCTGTAGACTGGGGGAACCATCTCAGGGCCAAACTGCCTCCATAGTCCGAGGCTGCGAACCACCGCAGGAGCCTAGAGTGACTTTGGTCAAATGAACATTATCCATTATCTCAGAGTAGGCAGTTTATGTGCAGTGTCTGGCTGCCCAATGCGACAAGGTCACACAGGCCTTTCACATTATCCAAAGTCTCTGTGTTGGAACAAGGCCCAACACAGAAACTTCACATGACTTGTTTCACATTCATTTTACATGGGTCTGGCGTTCTACACAGGTAACAGGACCCCAGTTTTGAGAGAGTCTACCTGGGTAGAACACGTTATCCAAAATCTACAGCTGACCCTTGTAAACACCTTGTAAGTGTGAATGGTATGCCATGCCTACTCGTGTTCAATCGAACCCTGTTCTGCTTGCAGTGGACCCATGTTGATTCAACATGGGTAGGCCTAAGGCCGCACAACAGTTGCACCTTGTTGCCTCTAGCAGAACTGACATTCAAATGACCAATTTTCCTCCGGATTTTAGATGAAGAAGCTACCGCAGTTGACAATGACCTGGAATCCAAGACCAAACTGGGCACCCCAGGATCCGCCAGCAAGCACACCCCAGACAGGATGGAAGATGGACTCACCACTAAACCTGAAGGTGACACTTACTCTGATAACTGATCCACAGTTTGAAGGGTGAGTGTTTCTTTTTTTTCTTCCGGTTGTAAAAAACTCTTGACAATTGAAACTAATGATTCACCATCCTCACCCACCCCTACCCCTTTTTCATATTGCATGTCTTTTTCTCCATGTCTTTCCAATTTTTTTTCTCTTCAGCATATTCGTTTGTGTTATCCTGTTCAAGTGCTGTAAGTTTGGAGTCTTTTACAGACTTTGTGAGAGGTGACAAGTTTTAAAGAAAAATTTATAAAAAACTATTTTTCCCATGGCTACCTCCGAGGGAAAAAAACTTAGAGGGATATTTTGCTGAACAAGTACTAAGCACTTTAATGGAAAAATTATTTTGTGCTTTGCACTATGCAATTGTCCAAACTTGCCACTCAAACATCAGGAAAGAATTAACTGAACATGTAAGAATTGATTCTTTTTAATACTAAGAATCATCAATGAATTTTTGGTGATGATCATGAATTGGATGTTGTCTTTGAAAGAAAAAAAAAGGAAAAGACTTTCATTGGGCATCTACATGTATCCAAATCTAAATCAGAATATAATACTTCAATTCTCTAATTGAGAGAATGCGTAAACTCTATATCATGTCTCTTGTCAGGTTTCTGTGTTGCGTCACTTCATTCTGTTCCGTTGTCTTGTCTTAGTTCATCTCTTAACCCCCCTTTTCCTTCCATATGTGGTCCCACCCCCTGCCCCTCTTGCATTTTTCTCACAACAGTTTGTTGAAAGTAAGTAAATGTTAGTCTCAGTGGACGGGCTTTTGGTAGCGGCCGGAGTTGCGGACGTCGTCCTGCGATCTTCACTGACCTTTGAACTCTGCTGTAGAATCCACCTCTAGGTATCTGATTAAAAATTACCAAAAGAAAGACCCATTTTTTTTTACAACTTCTTGATTTGGAAACATTTCAGCCAAAGATGAGCTCAAGTGCAAGTTGATTTTATTTTTATTCTTTCATCGAACAATTCATCCTGTTGCAGAATTTTGAAAAGCACTCTTTCAAATGCATAATTAAAGAAATTTAGTGTTGATAATAAAAACAATAACCAAATATAGATAAATGCTGTTGTGCATGTTGAACAAGTTTTGAGTTTTAAAGGGAAGATACAACATTTGCAAACATCAAATAACGAAATTATCAAATTTTCACGAAATACCTTACTGAATTGTTAGGGAAAGACAGTCTAAAGCATCCAGTAAAATTGTGGCTCCTGATGTGCTGACATTTTCAAGAAAAACTGTATTTTTCCAACCCTGGTTGGCCGACCAGCGTTGGAAAAAACTGGTTTTTTTCAAAAACTATTCCTAGTTTTTCATATTTAGCAATTCCGAATTTTCTTTGCAATTGATTACACACCTGTGAAGGGGTACAAGCCTGCAAGACTGATTCTTTGACCTTACAATTCCCCAAAGTCTACAAATTGCTCTGTTTCATCTTAAGTGGGGTCAGGGAACCAGACTACAAGAACATAATTGGTTTTCTATGTTTTTCCAGCATCTACAAGCCCAACACATGAAACAAGTCAGTTGAACAATATTTGCTATAACATACTTATCCTCAAAATTCATTTATTTATGAAAACTGCAGCAGAAGCAAATGTTGTACATTCCCTTTAAATTGATATTTTATTAAATTCAAAACAGAATTTCACATTGGAATTGAAAAGAAAATTCAAAATAATTTTCACGGATCCATTGGGATAGTGTATAGTGTAGCCTCTTTTTCTGCAGTTTATTGTGTACGACATTTGCATTGCTTCACTTGTCAGTGATTTGTCGTTATTAATGAAAACCCTGTTTGGTCGGAGGGGCACACTTAACCCCCCTTCCCGGCCCCCCTGTGCTCAGCCAGACCTCGCTCGGGAGAAAGGTCGAGAGGTCAAGGTTCAGAGGTCGCAGTATTGTAGCAGGGGAAGTCACAGACTCACATACACACACTGCTACCGTACCGACGATTGTTGAGATTTGCGCTCATGTATTACAGGTATTCCGCCAGGTACCCCATAACTACTACGTATTTGTAACAGATTTCTGTTTTAAAATCAGCCTCGATATATATTGTCAATTGTAGTGATTTTACCAAATGAAATAAGGTGCATGTGACAAGTTTTTCTTTTCTTTCTAGAACTGGGCAATTCCAATGTTATGACAGGAGTGTAATGTCTACGAAAGAGCCAATTAACTGTGATATCTAATTAACGATTCAGAGAAATGATTCAAAACTCCTAGTCTGTAATCTCCTTGACCATTACTAGATGGTGGATGTATAAGATTTGGAAAATGCACATTTCATGTTTATTCACCAAGTTCTTAAAAGCGCAGTCAGACATCACATAACGCTGGAACTGTCCTTCTGAAAGATATTTGTAGAAATATCTGACATCTTAATGCGTGGATCAAATTTACTTGTGTCTGAACATTGTTAAATGAAGATTGACGATTGTTCCTAACTATTATAGTAAGAACAACTGTGCTTCATGCATATTCATGATCTATCCTTAATCATTGTCGGACAAATAGTGGTATATTTTTGAATGTTGATTTTGTAGCACTTGGCGCAATACTGGCTGCGCTGGCATAATACTTTTCCAGCTTTGTTACACATGTGCAGTCGTTGCCGCTCAAGCAAACTATATTTTATTGTAATGCAGGCAGTTCATGGAGAATTTCCAACAAATATCTGAATATGCATGAGGTGTTTTGGTTAGAATGGTTGGCTGAAATAATGGCCCCTGATACTGGCAATTCACTTGCTTCCATCAGAAGTCATTTGGTTAACTTCCATTGGGTTACATGCACAACTACTGACTATGGTGTGAGAATAATGTTAGTCATTTGGTTCGCAATATGCTGTTGACAAGTGACATACTATAATATTTTTTGTACATTCAATTTAAAAATAAGTCTTGCGTACATCCTAAATCTTCTACATTGAGCTTTACTGATTGGTTGGCACTCTTTATCACACCCCCTTGTTCGAAATATAGGTTTTTCCTTTATATAGTAACTGGCAAGCATGCGTGTGTGAAGAACATCAGTTGTATAATCATGTAGGAGTGTTTTTAATGAGAAAATTTGTGACCTTCACATACTATTTGTTTAATTTAGTTGGATAGTTGAAATTTGGACAGAAACATTCATCAGTGACTTCACAGGCTAGTTATCCTGTTATTAAAAACAGGATTATTAATCTTTTACCTTTAATGACAGACGAAAGATTGATGGTTTGATATTCAAGCATTTGACCATTATCCCCAAAACATTGCTGGTTTGAAAATGTACAGTAACAACAAATTGGCAATATTTTGTCTGATGGTTGAAACTGTTCCATAGTTGTCAACCGTTTTGCCAAAATTCCTTGGCAAAATTCATTGTGTAATACTTCCCAAGTTCAACTTTTTAATCGATTTGCTTGAACCACTCCCCAGGAAGAACAAGTTTGAACTTGCTCTAACTTTCTCTGTGCTTCTGTTTTTCTCCCAATTAAAAATCACCCTTCTGCAGCCCAGGGCAGTTGACGAAAACAACCTGAAGACAGAGATCAAGACACAAAACGACGTTGTTGATGATGATTGTTGCCATGATGATGAGGAAATACTCACGATGGATCATCATTGCGAGCGTCTTCAACCTTCACCAACTGCCAGGCCATGTGGACTCTCACTGATTGTACACTAGTAGGTTTTATCAACTTCAAACCGAGCAATTTCTTCATAAATCTAGTTCACAATTTTTTTTTTCTTATCTTAATTGCACAAAAAGTTCTGCCGTTTTCACCATAAAGTGTGTAGTTATGCATGGAGTCCCTTAAGTAAACCACATGAAGCACAGTCTTTTGTATTTTAATGCCTCAAATTGAGTCATCAAATGTGTTTAGCCATGAAAATGTTGTGTAAATAAGCTTTCTGTGAGACATCAAATTTTGCATCACCTTAAGAAATGCAGAAAGTAGTTTGTTCATAATGCGATACCATTGAAAGGAATGATAAATGTTAAGATTTATTAGTTACCTTTGTGATGAGATAGTAAAATTTTCTTCCGAGTGTTCATTTGTAAAAAAAAAAAAAAATTGTGACACTGCTTAATATCTCATTACTCCATATTTGTGTTTTTAACAACGAACCACAAATTGAAACAGATTTGCACTTACAATGCTTGAAAAGAAAACAAGCGATTGTATATACTATTGAGCAGTGAGCACTCCACTAAGAAATATTTAAAAATTGCAGTTGTAGATGTTAGCACACTCAAAATGTTGTAATTTCATGTTTAAAAGCTAATCTTGAGAAAAGAGAGTTTTTCCTTTTCAGCAAAACTTTGCATTCTTCCTCCATGCAGAGTGTTATTGCCAAATGCCTCTCATGGGCAGCATACGTCCAGGGTGTACGGTTTAGTCTTACATGAATCATTCTAAGGTATGTGGTTTAGTTAGGTACTCTAGTGCACACTGACGTCTGCTCAAGCCAATCACAAGGTGGGTCACTTTGTCTGATTTTATTTGTACTTTCATTATTTTTTTTTGTGTAAATAGTTTTGTGCAGTCCTTATTGTTATACAGGGACCTGTTTTACCTTGCATTGCTCGGAGATGGTTGAACATAGAGCAAATTGATTTAAGATGCATCCCCCGTGCTATTTCAAGTTGCACCCCGAAAAATAGATTGGGTGTTTTTTTAATTTTTATTTTCCTAACGATATAAAAGTTATTGTCTTTTAAATGAGACTTCAAACGAAAATATCCACCAACGTTTAGTTATTTAATTATTCCTTTACAAAATTGGAATTATTTGCCACCCAACAATAATTAGGTTATCGCAGGGCAGATTCATTTGTGCTCAAAAGACGCCAAAAAATCTGGAAAAGAAAGGGTTTTTTTGTCAAACAAAACATACAAATTGAAAATTTGTGAGGCGAAAAAAGTATTCTTTTTTAAGAGCACGGGGCACATCTTTAAGGACCGATGGTCAACTAGTAGTTAATTCATCATTGGACCTTCCACCTGCACGTTAACGTTATATTTGGAACATCTCCAGTTGAATAATAGTCAAACAAATTCTCATGATCCTGGCCCCCTGCTGTTTGTTTGAATATGCACAGCTAGTGGTAACCAGTGATGCACAACTAACCTCAGTAAAAAGCTGGCCCTAAATAGTTGAGTTGACTTGCCAACTGTCATTTATAGTAGACGGTTAGTCCAATTATGGTTGATCATATTTTTCATCAAATTTGGTCATAATTGTCAAAAGTGCTCATTATTGACTGTGAAGAAATGCATTACATTGTTGCATTCTTCACTTTGAAAATTCCAGAAATAAATATTAAAAATAAAAAGGTTTACAAGCCAAAATTTTATTCCTTTTCATTTACTCCTCGCCACTACTTGGATTGAGCACATAGAAATGCAGATTTTTAATTTGCATAAAACTTGTGAGTCTGTCATTAGGTTACTTTGAAGTAGAAATGATTTGAGGAAGTGAACGTTAGGTCACAATTGTTCCATCAATTGCATTTGGAACTTGTGAAATTGACATGATTGTTATAACTGGAAAATTATAAATAATATGAAAGACTTGAGTGCATTGTATTAATTGTTATCTGAATAACAAATTATGTGACTTTTGAAGAAGTGTGCAGTTTTGCGAAGAAATGTACAACTTCTAAAGAGCTGTAATCCAGCTAATATTTTGAATCCATTAACAAACATCTGTATGGCCGTCATAGTCTGTTCTAGCCTGGGTACCATACGGTTTGGTCCTATACAGGTAGACAATCCTCATATGTCGGCAAGACGTGTAAAAAAATCACCATCTTCCTGTGAGGCTATATTCAACAGGTACGTTATTAGATAAAGGCCACCCAGATGTAAATTTGTGTTGGTCATTTGTATGTGTGTAAGATCGGTAAATCTTTAGTTTTTGTGCACAGAAACTATTCCAGTGGAACTGAATATGAATGTAATGAACAGAGTGCCAAGGCTTTTCCATTGTGGAAACATTCAGAAAGATGTTACGTTAAATTGTCTTATATTCTTTGTTTTTATTTGTACGGCAAAATAATTACGACAGATTTCAAATGTTCAAAGCTATTGATGTCTTGAAATTGATACATTGTGAGAAAGGTTTATCTACGGTCTGGAAGCATTTGTCAAAATTCCTCTTTGTTAATAGATCCCATAGTTCATGCCTAGCTAGAGTTTGCTTGAATGAGAAATAAAAAAATTGAAATATTTAGAAAGATTTAAGGCATAGGACACGGATGTGCTTTTATAATTTCAATTTGTGGGTTATTCGTTTTATAATGGTAACATTTTTGGTTCTATAACTGCTGGGGTGATAAGCTTGAAATATTGCGACAGTTTTAGAAAGACGTTACAATTTGGAAATCTCTATGCTACAGACAGAATAAAAGTTGGAAGATTGATAAATAAAATTTCCAATGAAAGAAGAGAAATATAGTGTCCTTGTGTTACTTTCATGAATTTGATTTTTAAATGTGTTTTCTTTTGCCCAGCACTAGTCTAACAAGGTTTTTAGATTTTAGGAGTCACATCAACTCAACCCCCGCCAATATAATTATCTCCTGAATTCACAGTACAATACTGTGCTGCATCCCTGATTATCATACTACCAAATGCTACCTCATCCCCCCCCCCCCGAAAAAGATATCAACCAAAATATATCCGCCCCCACCCCAACCCATCCCCACCCCAACCCATCCCCACCCCTGTCGAATTAAAAAAAAAAAAACAAGCCGGTTCGCCACTAAAAGGAGATTCAATGATGCCAGCATTTTCCAATTTGTGGGTGTTTTTTAAGGAAAAAAGTTAATTGAGTTTTATGTAGTTTTCTGTAATGGGAATGGATGACAGTTTTATTCTTGGTTTGAATTTGGGAATGACAAATAGTTCTCGTCTTGAGGGTGCAAACTCCCTCTTTCTAGTTCTGTCCAAAAATTCATGAGAATCAAATAATCAAACGGTATTCATGCATAGCGCCCTCTTTTGTCTAGTAATGGCCGCACGAAGAATCTCCAATTTTCATCGGCAACTTTGCCCAAGAAACTCAAAAAGGTATGTGTTCTTATTCCTCCATGGTTTAAGTTAAGAATTAAACATTGAATAGAATGCCAACAGAGTTGTATTTGAGGTAGTCCGAGTAGCTAGAACTCTACAATTCGCCTTTTTTAACATCGCCAGACCATGACCAAACTTGTCACGAGTCGTTACTCGGATTTGAGGCTCAACACTATAGCCCAGGCTGCCGCCCCAGGTTGGACGTTGGACGACGTCTTCATTGCATTGCAACAGTCCTGCCATATTGTATCTATGTTGTGCCCATTCTTGAAAATCACGCATTCTCGAGAATGGGCATGCACATTCTCGAGAATGGGCGCGCATTCTTAAGAATGAGCGCCCATTCTTAAGAACGAGCACGCGTTCTTAAGAATGAGCGCTCATTCTTAAGATTGGGTGGGAATATCACGTGCACAATTTATGAATTTTGCCCAATCTTAACAATCATTGCACGACATAATTATGTTAAATGAATTGTATAGCGGTTAAAAGGGAAACAATTCATATAAAAAATTAAAGAGGAAAGAAAATGTGCTATGCTTCTGTACTCGTATAACTACGATAATTTGAATCAAATTAAACCTGTTATTATTGCTTTTTTCTGCCCACTATGGGAAGTTTTGTAATAACGGAGGACTGGGAACTAGTCTGGGAAGTGCTTTGTTTAGGCTAGACAAGTTACAAGTCCCTGCATGTATCATATGCGTGCCACGAAAAAAAAAACGATGTCCAGAAGCTGCCAAAATTGCTCTTTTGACTAGATAGAATCCAGCTCTGCGACGTTATGGTGGGATGTGAACAATAAATTGGTGGCAATTTAAATGGGAAATAGCATTAGCACTATGGGATGTCGCAGTATTCATTCTCATTCTTCACATTCTTCATTCTTACATCCCCCCCCCCCCCCCCCCCCCGCTTTTATTATCCCAAAAATCAGAATTCTTTGCACTAGTATTATTATGTCTCTTATATTTTCCCGGTCCCCCCCCCCCCATATTAATACGCCTTTACTTATCATATCCACTCTACTTTTCAGCGCCTTGCGTTGCAACGAATCACCCGTTGCAACAGTATTATTATTGAGAATCAGTGAACGAGGATTCAGCTAGACTTGCCAAGCGCAGCCGGTGCTCGGCATCGACAAGACCGTTATCTTGTCGCGCATTCTCGAGAATGTGCGCTCAATCTGGAAGAGTTATTTTTTTGCCAAGATTGAGCAAGGATCCAGTTGCACATTCTCAAGAATGTGTATGCCCATTCTCGAGAATGCGTGATTTTCAAGAATGGGCACAACATCTACATACATCATAATAACATACGACATCATGTGTGGTGGGAGCATTCCTTCCTCCATGGTCATGATGGTGGGAGTAGCTTAGGCTCCTTATCTTTAGCCAAAACCACAAATCAGTTTACTTTTACTCTGAAAAGCACAGAAAGTGACATTTCAGCACAGAAAGTGAAATTTCAGCAAGTTAAAAATATTCCTGTTCAAGTTTTGAGTTTATCCACCATTACAAAGCTCGACACAATTTCCATATTTCTTTTGGAGTGCGCTGTGCACCCTTTAAAAATGCACTCAGACATGACATTGGGTATGTTTCGGTAATATATTAAGGTAATAATGAATTTGAAGCTTGTCAACGAAGACACAACACTACGAGAGGAAAGTCGGGAGAAAAGTAGAACTGCGCCTCACGATGCAATTTCGGTATAAAATAATATAGAAACGGAGACTTGATTGAAGTTAACAATCAAATGGCAGGGTATTTTAATACCAATTTCTCCTGTCCATCGTAATGGGAAATTAATGGTTTTGTAAAGGTGGAGGTACAAAGGGCCTGAATATTTATATTTCAAGTCGGAGTAGAATCAACTAAAAAGAAACAATAGGAGCAGCATAGGAATTTCATAGTGAAACATATTATTTGTATGTATTCTACAGTGAACAACCCAACACACAACCACCTGCAGAAATTGATTACTGCCACTGTTGCTGTTAGAACTTAGAAGATAAAAAAGGTATTAGCTGTTATTTTAAAGGATTAACACTGAATAGGCCTATCTCATTTAATGTCAAAACAACATTGGCTATCATGTTTGAATGAACTGTAAACTACATGACATGTTTTTGTTTAAACAAATAGTTTAAATTCATTAAACAGTATAATATCTACTTAACCTCCCTCTGAAAAAAAGAAACAAAAGCAGACAAAAATGTCCTGCTTCACACTGTAGAACGCACTAAAAGAGTCCTAATCCAATTTAAAAAATTGGCTTAATCATAGTTTGACTTCCTTTAAAGGGAATGTACAGCATTTGCTTTTGCTGCAATTTTCAGAAATAAATGGATTTGGAGGATTAGTATGTTATAGCAAATATTGTTTCACTGACTTGTTTCATGTTTTGGGTTCGTAGATGCTGAAAAACCAAGAAAACCAATCATATTCTTGTAGTCTGGTTCCCTGACGCCACTTAAGATGAACCAGAGCAATTTATAGACTTTGGGGAATTGTAAGATCATGAGAATCAGTCTAGCAGGCTTGTAGTCTTCACAGGTGTGTAATCAATTGCAAAGAAAACGCAGACGAACTAAATATGAAAAATTAGGAGCACTTTTTGAAAAAAAAAGCCAGTTTTCTCAAACGCTGGTTGGCCGACCAGCGTTGGAAAAATACACTTTTTCTTGAAAATGTCAGCACACCAGGAGCCGCAACTTTAAAGGATGCTTTAGGCTGTCATTCCCTAACAATCCAGTGAGATATTTCGTGATCATTTTATCATTTCGTTTTTCGATGTTTGCAAATGTTGTATCTTCCCTTTTAATTCAGTATTCCTGTAGAAGGGAACACAACTTCAGCCAGCATGTCTTCCAGTTCCACATCCATTCCATTCATCAGCTCACAGGAGGCTGAGAAAGCGTTGACATATGCTGCTTTGATCCCTGCAATTGAGCAAGCTTTGGGAGATTTCTCCAATGGCGAGCAAGGGGGCGTGGTGCAGCCACTACGTTCTGTTTTCCCGGTTAAGAAACAGGATGGGTAAGTGTGAAATACAGAAACCAGCTTGTGAAACCTGGGCCTTGTCTCAGCTTCAGCTGCAGGCTTTAACATCAAGAGTAATAGGCCTTTGAATAGTGACCTTTCAGTTTAATGTTCAAATTATGGGAATCCTTACTTTTAGGACCCCTTTCCTATATAAGGTTAAAAGACTCACCAAAACAGCTGACTATGACACTCAAAAGTGACATTCTGATATTTATTGACACATTTGAACATTTGGCAATGACACCTCTTGAATATCGGCAGGTTTGATTTTGTAGAAAGAGGGCAGGGTTTTGATTTATGAGGGGTACAAAATAGAGGTGTCCTAAAAGTAAGGATTACCCAAATTATGCTTCAGGAACATTTATCATATTTCAACCTGTCTCCGATGGAGCCAAACATTTGATGTTCTTCAATCTTTATTCATAGATTTCAAACTTATTTAAGAGCGTGAGACTGAGATGAAGCAAAACTGAAGTTTCCATAGACCCATAAATTTCAAGAAATATTGCTCTAATTTCATATAACAATTTTCTTAAGTGCGAAGTTTATGTAAAATCTTCGAAATTGCTGAACAAGATAAAAAATTTATAATTTACACATAATTTATATCACAGCTTGCATACTGCAAATTACATGGAAAACTCCACTAACTACACTTATGTATTCCATAAATGTGCACCGAAATATTAATTTATCATGGAAATTATGAACATGTGTAAAACACATCTATAGAGCAAAACAAGTAGTCAGCAATTGTGAAACCAACGTAAATTTAAGGTCAAAATTTATTTCAAATAGCCAAAGGTCAAGTTGATTGCCGATGGTAAGCAGAAAACATAGTCCAAGGTTTTTTTGATAAGTAGTTCAACTGTTCAAATGCAAGATAATCCCAAATATAGCCATTGTGAAATATCAGAAAGATGTATTATCTTATTTTATTGCTTGGTTTTGCACTTTGGCAAGCCTGGGTAAACCAATTCAACTGTTATCAAAAAATATTTTGAAACATGTACAAATTAAAGTATGAGATTTTTCACAGTAGTGTGTTACACAAATAGATCCATGCTGCTTATTGATTGGTTCCAGCCCCACAGTATTGATACTACATGTAAAAGGGGGCAGGAATCAGCCTGTCCTGCAAAAATTATTGTGTAGTGGCAAATAATTTTTAATTTTGTAAAATAATTATTGCTTAAGTCTCCTTCAAAAGTGGATCGCTTTTGTGTCAATTGCTAGAAAAGTAGCAATTTAAAAAACAATATTTTTCTAGGTGAAACTCGAAAACAGTGCAGACAGGTTATCTTGAACATACCGGTAAACTGCTTGATATTCTGCATACATACATGTACATGTACACACTCCATACAACACACTACCACTCTTCTATTTGAATGGGTTCTTTAGGTTTATGGCTAAGGATTAGAATAGAAACATAAATGCGTATTTATCTTAAACTCCACCCATAGGTACTTTTTGTCAATGCCAGCCTACAGTGAGAAACAAAGTGGTCTGGCCTGCAAGCTACTGACGCTGTTCCCCAAGAATGAAAACACTAAGTTCCCAGTACTCCAGGGCACCATTGCTCTATTTGATCCAGACAACGGCTCCTTAAAGGCGGTAGGTAAACAACAACACTTTCAAGAGCTTGGACATCCATGTATTTTGTCTCAAAATTCCGAAATATTCCTTCTCCTTTACATTTTCTCCAAATGCATTATGGTGCTTTCCTAATTGGAACTAGGAATGTTCCCAGAGTTTTCCAGCCGAAATAAGGTGTTCCCAATAAAGCATGTTAAGCGTTACAGTTTTCGAGACACCCCCCCCCCCAAACTATCTTCATTTTGAATTAGGTTAGCACTTTTCTCACTGATAAGGATATCTACACTAGTAAGCAAGTTGTAGTTTGAATTATTTGCCACTTTTTAAATGTCAGATCTTAGACGGAGAAGCCATTACTGGTATGAGAACTGCTGCAGCATCAGCTGTTGCTACAAAGGTAAGACACTTCTTTTTCCATGGCAACTGTCTGCTTTTCCAAAAATATATTTTTGTGGGACAACAAACATTATCAAAGCTGTGGGCAATACACAAAACAGACATTTCTTGATAGGAAATTGTTGCCTTTGTCAGCTTAATTTTCTTGTATCCCGTGTCAGTACTTAGCCCCAGAAGGAAGCAAGATCCTAGCCATTCTGGGGGCGGGGCTTCAAGCTTCCACACACTTACAAGCGCTCAGGCATGTCATTCCATTCTCAGAAGTAAGTAGCAATTTTTCGTATGAACCAACTCACTAATAAAATGCATGTATGACATTCTTACTGAAGGGTACCAGAGTGCCATAGCTGCTGTGGCACTCCACAGAGTAAGGGCTATTACAGTCCTTTTCTTGTTGCTCCATCTGTCGGCAAGTTAGGGCGAGGACCATTAGTCAACAAGTGGTTGATTCATGGTGTAACGTGTGCCTGCACACTAATAACAATGTATGAATGCCTCCTGTCAAATGCTTGTCAACACGTCATCATGTTCTGCACTATGGTACATGCAGCTGTTGGTAACAAGCAATGCAACCGCGGTCGATTCGTTCCAAATACATGTAGTCAACTAGTGTATTCCAACCATACTGCATTCGAACGAAGTTAGTCGAGCTATAGTTAATGACAGTCCTCACTCAAACTGTATCCTAGAAGGTGTTTCCAGCCATGAATCAGAATTACTTCACTCCACCACTGATCACACTAACTATTCACCAACCACTTCTCAGGTCCGTGTGTGGAATCGAACCTACGCCCGAGCCGAAGCCTTTGCAGCGAAGTACGGCTGCATCGCCTGCAAGACTGGTGAAGAGGCAGTGAAAGATGCTGATGTTATTGCCACGGTAACTGGGACATCCACCCCTATACTTCAGAGTGAATGGGTCAAGGATGGAGCACATATCAACTGTGAGTTGCACTCGTTATGGTTTTATCTTGACATTAGTTAACCTGCATGGCGTTTTGGCTCCAAGTCCATCACAAGTCCAACACAAGTCCATCACAGAAGCAATTTTGTCCAAGTGAAAAGAATGCACATGCAAAACGAGGTTGTTCCAAAGTTCAAATTGTCCTTGCCCTTTATGCAGGTGTTGGTGCGCCTGTGCCAGATCAGCAAGAACTGGATCCTGCTCTGGTACGTCGCTCAGTCATCTACGCAGACAGTAAGGAGGCTGCTCTCAACGAATCAGGCGATGTCGTCATCTCCAAGGTAACATGTTCTCATTAGTAGCTTCATGCAATTAGTCTTGGTGCTTGTGAAGGATCTTGAGGCAGTATAGTACATATGAACAAGGCCTACAACCGTTACGGCGTCAGCCATTATTATACAGTGAAATCTCGATAAGTCAAACCTCAGGGCAATTGGCTCGAATTTTGAGCTACACAGAGTTGGAGTTATCCAGTTGGTTTTCTATTCAACAACAATTGATGGGTATAAATTTTAACTTTGAGGTAGAAGGGTTTTGAGTTCACAGGTTAAATCGAGATTTCACTGTAAATAAAAACGGGGTTTTCCAACATTTCTCTGTAAATGTAAGACATGGGTTTCCTTTGCCCACACCTTTTGAATGAGGTTTTACACCTCTAACTGTACCATTATTAGCACTTAATATTTCTATAACACAACTGTCATTTATCAACTGTTTCTACTTTAAGGCTGAAGTCTTTGGTGAGATTGGAGAAGTTGTCCTGGGAAAACTGAAAGCTAGGAGGAATGAGACAACCATCTTCAAATCTTTGGGTAAGGAAATATTTATTTCTATTTTTTTCCCCACATTTTATTTTAGTATTATTTCTAGCTGTCTGTTGTGCACTATTTGTAGCTAGGTTGTTAGTATTTTTTTTTTTAGTTTGGCATCAACAAACAGTGCTGACATCATCGCACAAATGTTCCTCCTCCCAAAATTGAGTTTGTATTATTTAAGCAGTTTTAGAGCATGTGGCGTGATCGTGGTTATTTTCTTGTGTGTGTAGGTATGGCTCTTGAAGATGTGGTGGCTGCAAAACTGGTGTATGACAAACTACACGGTGGAAACTAACACCCCCCCCCCAAAAAAAGGCCAAAAATAATTCAACCGCGTGGAGAAAATTATTTTTTAATATTGAGCTCATCTGCTTGTTTGTTGATTCATAAATGTAATGGCAAATTTAAATAAAAAAAATATATTTTGCATACCGAAAGCGAAGTGCTACCTCATAATCATAATAAGAGGAATGGCATAAGAAACGTTTTGGTGTTCGTCTATGGGATCAGGTGTGTGTTCGTACGCAAACAATGCAAACTGTGCTATAGGGACTGACTCTTTGGAGAATGTAAGCAATAATGGCGATTGGTCTTCGTGAGTCGCTGTGTGTGCCAAAATGGCCGACACACACAGTGAACATAATGCTCCTGTCAGGGCTGACTTCTGTTTTCTACATCCGCAGTAAGTTGATTTCTTACTGGCGACATTTCATCAAAATAATTTCTTTTCCGGATTTTCATAGCTATCCAAATAATGGCACTGGCATACAGGGCACCGCCATTTTGGGGACAGTTTTTTGATGACATAATCATCGTAGTTGTGGTTGGCACATTTGCAGGGCGTAGTTAACGAACGTAAACATGTCTTAGTGTCAAGAACGCACCCAAGGTTGGCCAAACGGTACTTTTCATTCTTTCCGATGTGGTCATTCCACATGAACTCAACCAAAGCCCAGAAATCTTCCATGACCACGACTCAGATTTGGCAAAAAAGATTCTGGCGGTACCTTTCTATGTAAAATAAACACATGCAAACATTTAGGCTTCAACTCCTCAGGGTTTCTGAGAAATGGCCCCCAATAGACAGGGTGCCTCGCCCACTTCTTGCACTCGCGAATCGCTAACGTTAATTTATAGGGTTTTTGGAGGAAATGAATCAAGGACTTGTGCTGAACATTGCTACCCAGGGTGTACATGTATGTGTTCTACATAACCCCCAAAGACCGACACACAAAGGGAGAACAACAGATCCTTTCAATCCTCGGGAGTTGGGTCTTTTGTTCAAAACGGTCCTCTGTAGTAAGTTTGTGTGCTTAGTCTATGGGAGAGTGTTATAGTACAGGGACAAAGGGAAACAAACCATTGTCCTCGAGAGTATAGTAAAACAAGAGTGGGTGATTTGGCACCAGGTTTTAGAATCTGCCATCAGAATTGGCCTATCTGTTCTCATGTCAGAGTTATGGGTCCCTCAAATATGAATCTTTTCACAGGCGAATATCAAACATTCAATTTCAAGGGGCTCCTGTCAGCCCAGGATCTGCCACAGAGGGTCAATGATGCTGCATTCTTCTTATTTGTAGACAAGTCTGTCTGCAATAGGAAGCGTGACTACATTGAAGTGTCAAGGAGTACAGAGGCTCTAAAAAGGGTCTCAGCTTCTTTGGCTGGCAAGTTCACCATGTGGGTAGTTACCCATAGTAATGAAACTTATCCATATAATTGGACACGTCTTGCCGTGAGTTTTCCCGGGAATGCTATTCGGGGGTTTTCCTTCCACTTATAAAAGTGAATTTTCTTCGTATTCTACTAACAAAGGACCCCACTGGAAAGAAGTCAAAGGCTCTCATGGGCTGTCCCAGCTGAATGCCAAAAAGTATTAATTAAATGTACTTACATAAGATGATATTTTTTTTTTCAAAATTACAAATTTGATTTTAAATTTGCATTATTAAATTATATATTTCAAAATGAGTTATGTTTTCTGCATGTTGCTTGCAAAGCCAAATACTTTGTATTTCGGGGTTGCATTCTTTTCGAGAATACATGCAACTTATGTTTTTAAATTTGTAGCAAAAAAAATACATATTTTTTGGAAAGTTATATTTTCTGAATGTGTTTGATTCATCTTTTTTTGCAATCTGAGATATAGGAAGTGTTAAAAGATGTCGTATAACAATTCCTTTAACAAATTATGCATATTGACCATTTAGTATTTTCCCTTTTTTCAATTATGTATGAGAAATTATATTGTGAAATAAAGACGTTTTAAAGAATCAAATCATGTTTTGTTTTCTTTTGTATGTGACAATAAGTTTATACACACTGCTTATTGGTCTCCTGCAAATTTGAACAGCGCCCTCTGTTGTTGGACTTTTGTTACAAATTGTCAGTCACAGTACAAGAAAACACAGTATTAAAACTACAGTGAAACAACAAAAAGACAGTCTTAAATAATTGTTTTAACCTTTTTTTCTTTTCGTCATTCAGTTGTAAAATTGTGAAAATTGTACACAGAAATCCTGCACCAGTTCTAAATTGAACATGTCAGCAAAAGTTGCCTTGAAATTGTTTGTATACATGTAGGCTCTATTCAAACAAACAAACCAAAGATGTTGGGGGGGGGTGATCCCCCTCCATTAAAGAGTTTCACACCTTTAATAGAGTTTCACACGCTCATGGTGGATGTTTGTGATCCACTGATGTAAGTACTTTGCCACTCTCTAGAAAATCAGTTGAGGACAATTGTTGGTTCTTGATTTTGTTGGGGGGGGGGGGAAGGAATTGTAATCTTAATTCCACCTATCCCCACCTGTGTACCCAGAGTCGTCCACATGTGTACCAGGAATGTGACTTCACAACCATTTATCCTGTTTGCAAGTCATGAACTTGAACCCAAATCCATGGTTCCCTCCATGCACTCCACCAGACATGGCCTACCGGTACTTGGTGGAATTTGACTTAAACCACTGCATCAGGTTTTTTCTGAAACTTTTGATACTTGAATGATGTCGAGCACAATCCCCTCAATTGCCCACCACATACTCGGGTCAGCCTTCCAAGTACGATTTGATACCGCTTCCTCACAAGCCAATTAAAGTTGGTAGTGCCAATATCGAGACAAGTTGATCCCTGTCAAAAGTGTATCAAACAAAAGCCTTTGTTAAATTGGTTCAAGTAGCAAGAAGACACATCCCTCCTACAGAATTGGAACCTTGATTTGCTAGTTTGTGACCAGACTTGAAGTTTTCTGATTGATTGACAGATTGATCAGACAGAAGCTGACAAACTGCGACCCTGTTGCAACTGCAGTGCCTGTGGGTTTGAATGTGTGAAGGTGGTCCCTTAAGTGTCAAATGATTGGGCCTTGATGTATGTCCCTGGAAGCCAATTACTAGAGATATCAACAATCCCCCCCCCCCACCAACCCTCTTAGACTTATTCATTGTTGCTTTTCATGGTCACAGAGGTTGCTATAAGTTTGACTTATTAATGACCAGGATATGACGAAAAAGCATTTCTGATTTTGCTGAACAAAGGTAAAAGTAAAGATGCTGAACCTGTGTTAACAGGGAACGGAGTGCCCATCTCTCTTTCGTTAGCGATTGGGCCAGACTCATATGCTGCTGTGGGGGGATTGCCACACCTCCTCCACAGTGAGTCTGTTACCTTCCCAGCATTGAATAATGCTGGTACCAATTTAACACCTGGGTTGAGAGGAGTAATTCAGGTAAAGCACCTTACTCAAGGGCACAACACGCATGGCCACGGCGGGGCTCGAACCCACAACCTCACGATCATGAATCCTGTGCTCCACTGCTAAACCACACATGCCTTCCTTCAAACATCGACAAACATCAACAAAAGAAATAGTTAAATGTTTTAAAGCTGCTGGTTTGCTTTCTGCGCTTGGTTGACTTAAAAAATATTTGAAAATGTCAGTGGTTTTTAGTAATCAAGGATTTTGTGAAAACTTATCTGATTTTTTGTATCTGAAAGCTATTTATTTTCTTAGCTTTTTTGAAGAGAGCAGTGGTAAAACAATCTGCAATCTTGTATGGGTCTAACCACCTTTTTTGTATAGCTTCATGGTCTATTTCTTCAGATATTTCATCTGGTTTGGTAGATCATGCAGATTATATTCCCCACAAATTCATGACAGTAAAAAATGACAAATAAAATTTCATTTTTATTAAGCTAAAACCCCAACACAGTCTGTGCCTCCTTTGTTTTTTTTATATTTTGATATTTATACATCAATACTTAAATTTAATTAATTCTTATATCTTGAATGCCTGAATAAATGATTTTACAGGAGGAGACTCCATTAAACATCTTAATGAAATATTAAGACTTTTACAGAAAGAAAAAATGAACAAATAGTGAAAGGACTAAAATTTTGACCTGAAAAATGATCTCTAGTCCAGCAACACCTTCACAATATATAATGAATTTGAAGTGTTCCAACTTTAACCTTTCTCTCACCTCTGTGATGCATGTTTTGCTTTTGTAAATTGCAATGTAATACATCCCTAAAACATTACCCCAAGTCCATGCATTAAGTTGTGTCCAGGGGGTAAGTACTGTTAGCCACAGCAGGGGGTGGAACCCATGTTTGTAACTGTCCAGCATTACACACACCCAATTAACCATACTGTATGCAAACACTTCTATATAAAGACAAGAGGTGTAACACAATGCAGGGTGTGATTTTTTTCACTGGCCACAAATAGAAGTGTTTTCATTTGTTTTGGTGAAGTAACTGATACTATCGCCCAGGGACTTTATGGTGTGATCGTCTTGTGGGAGGGCACTAGCCACAACTTTTATTATTCCTTGGGTTGGGGGTGGGGGTTGTGGCTTTGAGTAAAAGTTTGAGGGTTTCTTTTGCCAAAGATTTCTGGAAAACGTGGGAGGGGGTCTTTGCCGCTGGCTGCGTAGCCAGGGTTCCCACTATAGGGGGGAGGGGGGAGTGGGGAGCTGGATAGGGGGAGGGGGTGTGGGGGTGGGAATTTCTGTTAAACCCATTAACCATGGTCACTTAAAGGACTAACAAACTTCAGTGGGGGGGGGGGGGGGACTGGGGGGGGACTTTTTTATAGGAGGCATGCGCCCCCATGCCCCACCTCCCCCCCCCCCCCCATTTGCTAAAACTGCTGGTGGTTGCCATTACTAAAAATAAGGAACTGTTAATTTTAATTAGAAATTTCATATTAGACAAACAAAATGATCAGGAATTTGAAAATGGATAGATCAGATTAGAGCAAAAGATATTATGAAGAAGGGAAACAAATAAGCCAATTAGCAAGAAAGACAAGAAAAGAAAATTAGAATAGTCTCATTCTTGAGAATTTTAATCGAAAGAATTCAGTCAGAACATTGGACTTGTGATAACCATAGAACAAACTGATCAGAACTAGACTTACAGCCATAGTTTTGCCAAAATAAGCCACAATATCTGTAAAAAAAACATCAAATAAACCTTCAAACAATAAGAGCTTCCTAATTTCTGAAACTCTACATACAGAGAACCTGTATCATTTGAGAACGCAAAGCTTACAGTTTTAATTCTTTGGCCAAAAAGTTAAATTATGAATGAGTCAGACAAATTAGCAATGTTTTTGATAAGAAAGTTACATTAGTAGGGCTCATTTCCATCACTGGAGGTTTTCCAAAGTCACAGCGAAAAAAATGTTATTGATGGGCCGTAGGCTGTGTTGGATACACTCAGCACTCCTCCGTGTATTTGTGGCAAGGCTTGACATAAACAATATTCCTCAATGTCAAATTTAAAGAGACTCAAGATTGTGGCGATCAATGTGAGTGACTTCACAGGGTAAGACTTTTGGTGCCGTAGGAGGAAACAAAATAATGAGGTTTGACATTGGCCAAGACGACCCACTGAGACGAGATCCCTGATTGGATATTGACAGGAAGCGAGAATGTACAGGGACATCAATAACTGGCCGTGCCTTGAACTCCAAAGTAGCACGCCAGGTTGGGCTTTTGTCAATGAGGGCTCTTGACTTTCAGAATAATGTCTGAATTACATTACAACATTCTTCCCAGTTGCATCCAGTGAAGTTGCTTTGTTGAGGCTGTTTTTTAATGCACAGCACAAGGCAGATATGAACAGCGTCATTCCTACGTCACTGTTCCACATATCTTTACAAATTGTCTACAAATATCTACAATTGCACAGACAAGCTTGTCTTGCCCAGTGCCCCCCCCCCCATGTCAAGTGATGTCTAGCCCCCTCCCCCAGCTTGAATGTGTATCACCTATGATGAACATGCATGCAGAGGTTGAGCAGTGTTTGCTTTGAAAAACTGTTAAACTTGCATTCCGTGTGCTCTTCAACAAATTTGATTTTTGTTCTATTAATAAATTTTCAACTTGTATGTTTTATTCCAACCCAAAAAAACCCTCCTTTTTTTCCTTTTTTGGAAGTCTGCAGAAAAGGTTTTTGAAAAAAAAAATTGTTTTAGGCACAAACAGATCTGTTTTGTGAGCAGCCTGGCTACATTGTCGATACTGATTGTGGGGTGGGAACCAGCCTACCCCGCGATAACAGAAATTATTGTCAGGAAGCCAATAATTCAAATTTGTAAAATAATAATTCAATAACTAGACATGGGACAACTTTTCTGTCAACGCCTCATTCTACAGTAAATAACTTTTGTATTGCTAGAAAAACCAGCAATTTAGAAAAGGAATCCATTTTACACGATAAAACTCAAAAACAGCCCAGGGAACTCATCTTCATTAACACCCCTTTTAGACTTAGCATTATACAGTTCGGCTTTCCTTTTACATCATTGAAAAGTATTCTTACAATATACATTTTGGGAACAGAGAGAGCTTTCCTATGTTACAATTTTGATACATGTAGTTTTAAGTGTGTTTTGCCATGTTCATATACCGGTAGATGACCACAAAGCAGCTTAAATAAGGATACATTCTTACTAATGGCATTGCATTAGTCCTGCATTCTCCTGGCATAGGAGCAAGTGAAAGATGATCACAACTCCTACGGGATTCCAATCACTCTAACTAATATCGGTAATAACTCTTTATTTTTGGATCTGTGGCCAAATGCAGGATTTGCCACGGGGAAGCTCAGCATCAAGTAACCAAAAACCCCTTCCAGGGAAAGATGTTGAGAAAATTGAGGAGGAGAAGTAGGGATGGATGAGTGGCAAATTGGTTAGAAAAATAGTCATGCAATTTGAGAATTGCAAAGCTAGAATTGTAAAGCTAGATCCCTCTTGGCAGTTATGTAGTCTTTTTTTAAAAGACTATCAAGCACTGTATCATGAGCACAAGTACAAGCTTTAAAATTATAAGCAAGTGTATGTATTTCTCGAAAATCAAAGAATGTCACGGTTTTGCAAACTACCCGGTACATGTAATAGCACATCAAACCTCATGTAAAGTAATAGCAACTTGGCTGTACAGTCCTACTATGGTGTTTAACTTTGTTCAAAGCCATCCTGTTTGTTCTTTGCAAAACCATTTCGTCGACCAAAAACCAACAAGTTACCTTAAGAAATTACATTTGTTGTCTCAAATGTTTGCTTTTCTACACAGGTAGTTGTCTGGGCTGCATGAGGCAAATTTCCTATTCCTGTTTCGGACTGAGAATAGAAACAGTGAATCTTTGCTGACGACGTCAATGTATCCAACTTACAGTCCAAGAATGGAGGTGAGTAAATAACCCTGACATTTTTTTTCAAAGTATTTTTTATATAAGTACCTTTTTTGAAAGAAGATCCGTACTTTCACAAATGTATCTTTTGTCTGATACACTCTGAACTTCCCCTTTTAAAATAAAACGCTCTTCTTAAAAGCATGAATATTGTTGACAAAAAAGCTCAACAAATGTTTCTTCATAACTACCGGTAGTTATTGGCAGTTTTGTGATGTTTCATGAAAAACTTTCCACCCAAAACGAAGTCGGCCCATGGGCCCTTTCCATGATTGGTAGGAAAAAAAAGCTACAGTACACTGGCATATAAATCACTTGCTTCAAATGATAACTTGCCAATGTACATAATTTCACCATTTCCTTTGCAAATTGTGGCGCAAAACAAATGCTCTGACTTCGTGACATTTCAAATGATCCCTACTACTTAGAATCTCTGAAGTATTTAAATAGGTTCCGAAATCCTAGAAAATCTCAGCGCTCAGCCATACGCTGTATCAGAATGGAATTTAAATCCCTGTCAGTTCTTCACATTTGAGATTACAGGAGATAGACTGTGTCTTTTCAAAGTGCAGTCACTGAATAGGATTGAGAAACTTTGATTTGCTGAGGTTTTTTCTTTTTTGGGGGGGGGGGGAGGAGAGGGAGGGCTTCCTTATCCAACTTAATCCTCTAATTACGCCCCAGGGAAGGATTAACCCTAGGCAATTACACAAATACACTCAGGTGGGGGTTTTAAATGAGATTTCTTTGATTTGAGATTTCTTTGATTTGAGGGATTAACGGGAAAGCAAACCTGCTACAATAGGGCTAGAGTTATCTTGGAGGAAGAAGGCTTTAATAGGCAGGGTGGTCTCTGGAGCTGATGAGACAGATGAGACAGATGTCGTGAAACAAATTTGCCTGAGCTTATCTCTGTACCGTCTCCCTTTGCCCAAAGTAAGAACTATTTTTGTTCTAAGAAGGTGTATGGATGAAAAAGTTGATAATTGTAAGATTTAAAGAAGATTGTGCGTCATAATTACACTTATAACATTGACATAAATTTGCATTTTCTGGAGTTTTTTTTCTTTAAATGCTGGGTTTTTATTGGGGGGGGGGTGTTGATTGGGTTTTTCGTGCTTTCTTTGATTTTTTTCCCCTTCTTTTTTTTTGGCAAAGGGGAATTGACAGTGTCAAATGATTCACTTTTTGCAGACTTTTTTTTCCAGCATCAATATGTTTTCATAATCTTGGAAAAAGTGTAATAATGTTGGCACCAACTTGTATTTGTAACTGATTTATTAAAATTGGCATGTATCATTCAACTTTAAAATATGCCAGTTAAATCCTTCACTGACATGACATTTCATACACATGGCCGTCATATTTCTTCTGCATTCTCCTCTTCAGTCAAACCTTAATTTTAGGTGCCTAGGAAATATTCCAATTTCACAGAAAGGAATTATTTCTGACTCATCCCCATACACATTTATTACGATCACCTCACTTGAGCTTTGCAGAATTCCTTCACATATTTGCAGATATTTGCCACATTTTTCAATCACATTATACAACTCCCTGCCTCCCCCCTTGCAGACCAACACACAACCTCGGCTAGTTTATCAACCTGAGTGGTTTCCATTGTGTCAGGCAGTCTAGTGTGTAAACTCCCAAGTGAAGTAACAATCAAAACTGACGTTGTAAACCGTCACATTGATTCGTTGGTGTTGCAGTGGACACTCAGAGACCAGGTTCTATTGTCTTGTGTCCATTCATCCTGGACCATAAGCCCACTTCACTGGCCCCAGAAGGGCGCCAGTGTCCCCGGTTCCCTGACACCTGATTTGATTAAGCATAGAAGCAGTGAATCACTTCTAGGAGAGATTATTTTTGTCACTGGCTGTGTCCGTGTACGCTCATATTTATTTTGCCGTTTTTCCCACCCTGCTGTCCTGTGGAGAAGAATTCTAAAAGTTGGCAAATAAAACTGAGGTGTGCTAACAACCTATGAGTAAACTCCCTATGTCTGAGCTATGTCTGTAGTGCCGGAAGTGTTTTTGACACGTTCCTTGTTCTGTTATTTCTAAATGACTTGTAAACCAACAGCAGACTTTAAAGTAAATAAAAACAATCACTTAGGTTCCTTCCTCTGTGACTGAGGATTGTAAAGCAAATAAAACCAATGTTACAGTAATTTTTCAAATTCTTGAAATACTACTCGATGAATTTGTTTTGTATAGTTTTGTAAGCAACTGCAACTTGATTTGTGTTGGTTAGGGTTAGGGTTAGAACTTCAAGAACAAAATGCATTTTTCAAGTCCTGTAAGCTAGCTGAAACATGTAAGAACATGTTTGAAAATTTCTGGGGAAAATGAAATAAAACTTGCCCATGGAAGGCAGCCAGGCAGCTGTGCATCTCAACCACCTCTTTGTTAATTGCAAAACATAAAAAAAAACTAACAAACAAATCGGCCACTGAGTTATACTCAGTGACTAAGTCAGTCAGTTGACTCAGTCAGTGACTCTGTCATCTGCCAGTTACTCAGTCATCAGTAATTATGTGACTCAGACGGTGACTCAGTGACTCAGTCAGCTGGTCAGCCAGAGGACAATAGGCTGGCCCTTCTGGTCCAGCAAAGAAACCTGCTCAAACCGCACAAGGTTATAGTTTCCATCAAATGAGTATACTATTAATGCGATTTTGTCTGTAACAGTGATAGGACCACACAAAGACAGATCTCGTAAATTGCACAATCTGCTGGGAATTTGTTATTTACTGCCTGTCATATCAGCATTTGGGAAGACTAAACAATACTCCTCCGAACCCCTCAACCCAATTCCTGAAGGAATTCCAGACAATTCAAACTCATCAATTCTGCAGAAGTAAGGATTTTCCCACAGAATCAATCATTTTTAGGCTGAAGTACCGGTACATGATGTCTGCTTAGTTTTTATAAAGGTCCCTGGGAAGTAAATTGACACAGAAATGGCTCTGTGACTTCTCACAAATTAAATGCGTCTTTTGATTTGAACTTCATTTCAGAATTTGGAAGTAGGTTACAGGAGTGCATATCTTTAATTTCTGTGTTAATTCTGCCATAGAGAAAAAGTACTAGATTTTCATTATATTCCTCATATTACTAATAGGCCTATGCTTTTTTTTTTAAGTATACTTCTTTCTCAAGAAAATTCAGCTTTCGGCATGTGATGGTGAAACTTGAGGAAATAAAACTGATTTATGAACGATTCACAATTTGATTCCTGAAAGATTTACAGGGTACATGAATTGATTCTTTCCAAACTTTAGTCAACTGTGAGAAATCTGGGGCATTATACCCACACTGCTGTTAACCTTTGACCCCTTCCTCATCCTATCCCCACCCTCAGGGTTACTCTCTTTGTAATCTAGGAGGCAACTCTCAAAGGAGTCTGGTTCTCTCTGGTTGTTTGGACAACCACATCCGACATGAAACCCAAACTGATTCAGAAATCGATATAGCTCCCTGACCAAACAGTTAAAGAGCATCACCCTTCCAAATCAAAATCATTTCTCCACGATCTTAGAACCATATATATCTTCAACTTTGGACAATTCCTCCATGGGACAAGCATTTAATACCGGTAATTTTGAAAGTTCACCTCTTATAAAACTGGTGCAATCAAGAATTATATGTGAAACAAAATCACACTAAGCGAAAGCTACTTGTTTGTTAGTTAGTTTGTCTGTTTGTTTCCCCTCTGGCATAACCATTTTGGGGCAGACTGGTACTTTTTCCCCAAAAAATGTGTTACGGTATTTTTTTAAATATTTTTCTAATTGAATGAGTTCAGACAGACCTTTCCTGGTCTAGCATCCCACCTCACATCATTGCTTCCAATTAAAGAGAATTGCTGCAGGTGTGAAGCATAGCGGGCAACAATTCAAGACGACATCAAGGTGTTTAACCGCACACTGACACAGCAACATAAGCTCTCTAGTTTGCTTTTTTTTTTTTCTGAAAGAATTTTTATGACTCACTCGCTAGCTGCCAAGTTTTGTCAGAGTTGGAGAGCAGAGTTGCAGCTGGGTTTTTACAAGATTTTTGTGCTTTAAAGTTTTCCTCCCCTGATATTGTGTTTTATTTTGGCATTTCATAATTTTTAAGGGATACTCATCTGTGAAAATCATGTCAAAAAAATTGTTTGCCCAAAAAGGAAAAGGAAAAAAAAAAAAGGTTGTGAGGGGGGTGTGTCCTAAGCAGGGTTGATGGTGATGAGGATGACATTGATAATGATTTTGATTTTTAAATGTTTATTGTCTTTTTTTCTGAACATTCACAGAATTTATTTATTGTATTCATGTTATTTAGCCAAGTAGGTAAAAAAAATGAGATGGTGTGGAAAGTAGTTGGAATAAAGTGGAATGTTACAATATTGATTTTAATTGACTTTTGGGTTAAAATCAAATGGTCTGCATGTTGCAGAATGGTGAAATTGAACGTCGGCTACCCTGTCACTGTTTCACAGCTTTACACTAGGCCCAAAAAAATTCTTTGGGTAACAGAACCAGCGAAGTTTCGGTCCATGAAAAAAAAATCAATATTTTTTTAGCCTGTCATTTCACATCAAGTCTCCAATACAACATTCCACCTGGCTCTTGAAATCATGAACTCAAATGACCCCATCTCAGAAGAAAAACAACATCGTTCGTGGCACAGAGGAGGTCTAGCAGATTGTCCGCTGATGTTTGAAGTTGCAGTTTTATTGGCGTTTTATTGCCGATTCGTTTCTTTGATCAACTTAAAAACTGTTTGCTGTTTAGCCATTTGGATATGTTGTTAAATACAGTCAAGAAAAAAAAAGAGATAAGTAATTCAGGATAAAACATGTAGTTGAACTTGGTTTTGGAACATTGAGTGCTGCTTGAAGTGCTTTATGAGGCAGCACCGATTAATGCCGATGAAATTAACTTGAATTACTCTTTGCAGAGAAATCTGTTGGCCTTAAATGGCATTCATTGTCCAATTTGCTCTGCGTGTGGGTAAAATAAATGCTTTTATAGGTTCAGTTGTTAACAGCATGATCAGTATAGAAACACTTTTAGAACAAAAACAAGGTATAAGGGACTAAATATTTCTTTTAAACAAAACCAATTTTTTTCGTAGCTTATTTGAACCCCCCCCCCCCCATTTTTTAGACTTTCTTTGAGCTTCCACGATTCAAGTGAACTTTAGACTCGTGTTTGGAGAATTTCATCATAAAGATTGAAAAAAAAGCCAGAAATAGGGAAACATAGTGAATTGGCAAACAAATGAGTTTTGTTGTCATTAGAAATGGCCTCGAACTTAGTGTCATCAACAGTTCATTTTAGCCCCCCCCCCCTCCAATTTCTTCATAATTTCAAATGTTTTCATTCAACTTTTTTCTCAATAGTACTCCCCTCCCCCATCCTTCACTCTTCTAATATATGGGTTCTTTCAAATTCAACTTTCTTCCCCATGCAGCAAAACAAATATGTAAATGTGATTCCAAGCTTTGCTTATATTCAATTACTTTTCTCAGCAGGAGATGGTATTAATTTTACTCCAGGAGTCCAAACTGAAACTCTACAAGATTGCATTACATTTGCAGATACATAGACCTGTAGATTTTTCTTCTTCTTTTTTCCTTTTTTTATTTTAAGTACAAAGTCTTGTGTATCATTGTGGTCAGACCTAAGGGTTACCAAAATTGACATTGATATGGGACACAGCAAGTAGCACATTCCTTAGATAAAGGAAATGTATTTTTAATATCCAATATTACCATTCTTCTTTTTGAGCAAGGTTGGCAGAAAAGTGCTGAATATGACAAACCCTCACTTTTGCATTTTTAGAATAAAAGGAGGTTGAATAGGGAGTATGGTTCTCTTCCTAATTCCCAAATTACCATTCAGAATCTCTTTAGAATTCCTTAAAAAAATAACTTGAGGTTTACAAAATATTCCTTGTCTCTCAATTGAAGTTCAGTTGCCATTTGTTGACTACATGCACTTGCACATACACTTTACCTGTAAGTTTGTTCGTCTTTTATTTTATAGGCCTAATTCAATTAGAGTTTTTGGATATGATTCATGAAGAGAATATGTACATTTCTTAGTATTGTGACCATTTTCTTTACTTAAGATTAAAACATTTAGTTCATGTAACTTTTTGTTACATATTGGTTAAATTGAAAGAGAAAAATACAAATTTACTGTTAACATTTCAAACAATCGTTTTATTTGGCTACTTAGTATTGCAAAGGGGTGACTTCTTGTAGTACATCAACCTTCTGATTTACAACTCAAGTGTTGGTCAAAATACCAAATAACCCAAAATATGACCTCTGTGTAAGCAAAACCGTTGGCCCCCTGGGGCGGGATTTAGGTACCTATTTTAGTGATTTCGGAAGCCTTTGTGTTTGGCAAGTAATTAAGCGGGGAGAGGTGGGACCACTGAATATCCTAACCTTGACAAGTACTCTGTGCACAATGAATCCTGACTCAAGATTTCAGAGTTATATTATCCAGTTTTTTTTTGTGTGTTTACACTTATAAAGTCGCTTGTACTCTGTGGTTTATAAAAGGAACCTGAATGTGATTTTGAAAGTTGTAGAAACAGGTTCAGTTATGTACAAGTTGGTATCACGGCGCGTTGACTCTGAATTGAGTTCCTGCACGCAAGTTGGATAATTTTGACAAAGAGCAGGCATCAAAGTTAAGAGGATTTAACCCTAGTGTTGGTGACTTAGTTATTTTTGTTATTCTTTTTTTACTTCCGCATATTTTGGCAAAGAAGCCACCAAGGATCAGTCTTTATATCTGAAGCTGATGTTGAGGATCACCTTAATAGGATCAACTGTGAGAATGGTGATCCTCTTGATACCACTGTGCATCCAAAGAAATAGTTTTGTCATCATTGATCCCTTGTCCAACCCCTTATAAGTAATCATGTATTACTACGTGACTGAAAAGTCAGTTTTATTTGACTGTTGTTATAAATATGATGTGGCATTCAGGTTTTTTTTGCCATTTTGCCAATGTAATTTGGACTTTCAGACATTCCTTAGTAGCCCATGTTAAAAGTAACTCCCTGGTTTGTTATCTGTATAACTATTGTGAGGAATAAATGCAGTGAGCTGGGCTGTTCGGTAAAGATCTTTAATTCATTGAATTTACTTAAAATGTCCTATTATTAAACATGTTGATTATCTCGTATCTATGCTAAGCCATATGGCTTAGCATAGATACGAGATAATCAACATGTTTAATAATAGGAAATTAATGCCCCAAATAAGACTCACTTTCTTGTGACTGGGCCTTATCTTCTATCTTTGATGAATCAGGTTATCCATCAGACTTGACCATCATTCCTCTGTATACCTGTACCTCCTACTCACCCGCCCATGATAAATGCTCCAGACCTTGACATGCACTTGATCCTAGCCATCTTTTCCCCTTTAACCTGGCATGTTTTCCACCTGACTTAATGGCCCTGTTTTGATAACAGCCTTTGTAATACAATTGAGATGATGACGCACCTGAAAAAGTGGCCTTGCATAGCTGCCTGGAACTTTGCAATAAATCGAAACATCAGGTTTTCTTTCAGTAAAGAAACATCGCTGAGGACATTTCTATGACATCCTTTCTGTTACAGAAAGTGCAGTGGTTTTCCTTATTTTTTTCTTCAAAAATGAACAGTTTTAATCCCGGTGTTTCATCACCTTACAGTGCAATTAGATATGTGGCATATTTCTCAGTTTAATGTCAAAGATATTTCTCTCCAATTAATGTGTTCTGTTTATTATTGAGGTAATAATGTCAGGATGATTTACTTGTGGCCAGGTGACATATAGTAGGTCACAATGTTTTTTCAGTCAATGTTTATTATTTAGAGGAATGTTTTGCCGATGAATCATTTTTTTTGCATGTGAAGCATGTGAAATTGTGAATGATGTATTATAAAATTACCAAGAGTTATGTGTTTATAATTAATACATATAATAAATACATCATTGTTAGCAAAATAATTCAAAGTCACTCACCACATGGCTAAAAATTCCCAGACAGTCATTAACTTGGAGTTTTATTTAACACTTGTAATTTTAAAAATATTTAGTTTGATCATACCATGCAACTTCAAAACCACTCCACTTCCTACAAGTTATCTCAATTACTGCATTTAAAAAGAAGTATCAAAATCTTCAAAAATGAAGGTGTTGTTTTTCTAAATAATAGATGAAATTTTGATGAATTTTGACGTACCGGTACATGTATAATGTGAACAAGTGTCCACACAAAATGAATTATTAGGTTTGAACTGAACCAGAAACTAGATTTTGGTAAAATGAAACTACTGAAAGAAGCATCACTGTTTATCAGATGATGATAGAACAGTCATGGAATTTGGAATTATAATATTACTCAACCAGCCAGTCAAAACTTAAAAAGAAAATCACCATTAAGCAGTGGCCCTGAAATCATGTACATGTATCAATTCCTGATCCTAGATTTGGAGGGATTAAAGCTCACACCCACACCCCACATGCAGCCACTGATTTCACCTCCTATTCAGGGATTAACAAAAGGATGCAAACACAGTGCTAATCCCATTGTGCCTGCCTGGCTGTGTCATGCAAGGCATTCATTGGCTGGAAAGTGAGTCACCCCCATGAACAAAATGGGAACTTCCATCCAGTCAGGTGTTTTTATTAGCATGTGTTCATTGAGTGTGTTCAGTTAGTGCATGTGCAGTGAGCATATGCACATGTGCTGGGCTGGGGAATTATTCGCTCATTTGTTGGATTTCAAAGTCCGTCTCCCTTCTGCTGCTGAGAGCTTTTTTTGTACTCTGTGAGAACTTTCCGCTCCAGGCACTGCAGCTTCATGTTTACATTGAAAACTACTGATGTGGATTCTGCGGGATGCCTGGACAGATTCAAGTCTTTTAAAAAAGAGAAGAAACAACTTTGATTGACTGGTGACTGGCACCGCATAACTTGCTGATGCAGAAGGATAGGAGCGGAACACGGGACCCTCTCTGGATCTGAAAATATGTCAACCTTGCCAGTCTTGGCTCTTAAGCGCTTGGACTAATTGAAGCCCAGTAACTGCATCTTTCTTGGGGAGTTCTTTGGTGATGGTTTCTTGGACGGAGCATTCTTTCCTGGGCAGTGGTTAATGATGTTGATTTAAGAATTACCCAGACGAGTGCCAAGAAATAATCATCCAGTTGAAGTATTTCTGCATGTTCTAGAGTGTAGAGGATAATTTTTTTTCCCGTGGCAGCATAGACACTTCATGTTCTAATTCTTTGTAAAAAAAACACCATCTTTGGGAAAGCATCTTGAAACTGAAAGCCTGCATCATCCATGAACTTGCATCATCCGTGTCATCGCTGCAACTCTGTTTACTGAAGAAACATTATTATTTCTGTACTCTTGTCTGGAATAACCTGCAGAAAAAGCTGATGCTTTTGAAGGATTTGCTCAAGGAGTAGATTTAACTCAAGGAGGAAAAGGAGGCTCTCCTAGGAGGCAAGATGAGTGTAGCCAACTCGTTTCTTTTGGATAGATACCTGGAGGAGCTGAGGCATAACATGGGCAACAGTGGCAAGGGTAAGAAAAGATAGATTCCTTCACATCAGTGTGTGCATTTGCTGCATTGCTTTTTACATTCTTACATCTTTTTAAAATTCCATAATTACTCCTTTCATGGTCAATGCTCTTATTGTCTTGTACTTCTACTTCTATGCAGCTACTTGTTTACATTACAGCCTTTTCAGCAACTTAAACATGGAAACTTTTCATTTGTTGATTTGTTTCTCATTATACAGCCGCATTCATTATGGTATTGGACTGAGAAATGTTTTCCTTTAGAATTTCAAAAACAATTAGTATCATTTTTGTCTTTTTTTTTGGAATTCTTTGATGTTTTCCTCTTTTCAATGTTTTTCCACAGCAGATCATTTCCATGATTTTTTTTCTCCAGTGAATCAAAATGACAGGGCCATGAGATAAACTTGATCAAATACAATCATTTAAAAAGAACAGCCATTGAAAAAACCCAGATATTTCTTGCGGATGCAGGGTTTTGACCACAAGCTGAGTTACAGAAATGCCCCCTTCCTGAATCTTTAGCCCCATGTAAATAAATGTTCAAGACTCAATCCTTCAAATTCGTGCAAAAACCGAAACTTAGAATTTAAAGCATGATTTTGGATTGTGAGGAGTTCATAGATTAGATTCATGGTTGCATAATATTCCTCCATGCTTGTATGGCGACAATATGGAAGCTATACAATATGCCACATCATCACACAGTGATTAATTCAATATCCTTGAATATTCTTCCGGTGGTCTTCGAGGAGCTCAAAATATTAGTCAATAGTACATTGTACCAGCTACAATGTACATGTGGATGTTATGTAATCATTATTGATTTGCACTTGTTGCACAGCAGGTGTAATGTAAATTCATTCATGGATTGGTTATGTATACAAGCCTGTGTTGTGCTATTGTCTTGAGTTTATCGGTGTACTGGTATATTTTAAGGCTAAATTTGTAGTACTAGTAGAAAAACTTTCATTGATGGATCATCAATGTGTGTTACGAATGACTTATTTACAATTTTGTTACAGCGTCATTAGGAAATTGATTATAAAAAAAACTATATGATAAAAATTTAAAAATTGCTTTGAAATATAATTTATGAAAACTGTTCTTTTTGAAGTTAAGTCCGAAGGAAGGACATGACATATAATATTTATTATTATTATTTGTTTCTGGTTATGAAACCAGCATTCCTCTAAAGTGCCCCAGGCACTGTAGCTCACAAGCCTAAGAAATCTGTAGAGAGAAGACAGTGAAAAGAAACTACAGTTAAGAGCTGGGAGGAAAAGCCCAGAAGAATAGTCTGGTGAAAACCCACGGAATCAGGTAGGGACTGAAAACCCAATCCACATGTGGCCATGGCAGAAATGGAATCCCAGGTATCAGCGGTGGAAGGCGAGGAAAAACCTCTGCGCCAGCCTGACTCCCCAACATCAATGTTTGGCTGAAATAAAATATAGAATTTATTTAATCATACCATTTGCTTTGCTACCAGGAAGCCCTCAAGAAATTAAATCTAATCCTCTTTACGTCATGTTGACAGCGTAGTAAAGATATTTCCTTCTCTCGTTGTAATTATGTCACGACTCTGTCCTCACCCCATGGCCCAGTTCCTCTTGATTTCTGTTGCCAGTATTGTTCGGTCAAGCCTGTTTTAAATTGGATTTGCTCAGGCCATGGTTCTAAAAAAATATAGATGCAACCTCCTTGAACTTGTAGTGATTATTTTCCTTGGAGTTGTCTTCGCACTGTGTATCCTTGACATTGTACCGGTAGCTTGCATCACAGATGAAAAAAATCCATCAGTCAAATATCTCATTCCTAAAGCGAGGTTTCAGAACAACGCAAATATTAGGTGTCTCATATATATGATGTTTGTTTGCGTCTAAACACACAGTTTCACATTTATTTGAGAAAAGTCTCCTTTTTTGGAAATGCTTTCCTTGAAATTGAACACTATGCATGCAGGAAACCAAATGCAATGGCATTTCCTTGTACTTGGACAAAAATATATTGGGACATCAAGCTTTTGTCTCCTCTGAACGACTTTTGGCGAAATACTCAGTGCAAACCATGTGTAGGCTTTCAGTTTGGTTAGGATTAATTTTTTTGGAAGAAGAGCTTTTGGTACATCTCCATCAGCACTTTCTTGCTCAGTAAACCTTTTGACATCTCAATAACACTTCCGCTCCCAAAATGGAGCACCCATGTTCATTATTTACTTGATCTCTGCACTCCTGGCCCATCCCTGATGTATGAAGTTGCTTGTTCCGGCCACTTTTTTCTCTGTCACAACATCCCAGTTAAGACCGTTACTGAAGAAGAGTGATTTATTTCCGCCCAGACTGTTTAAAGTTTCTGTCTGGCCCTTCCGGTAATTGACTTGACCTGATAACTATGATGAAAAATTGAGGTTAAATTGGCGGATTTTGTGAGAATAAGGGGTTTACAAACTACAAGTTATAAGGGGATCTATGTTTACAGCAGAGAATTTTTTTTTTTTTAAATCGAAATTTTAGTTGAATTTCTGCATTATTTCTTCATGAAAGGAAAGCCTTCCTTTTTTACCTTCAGGTATAAATGTATTAAGAGTCATACTCATAATACTAAATTCTTACCCGATACTTTAAATAAAAAGAAGGTTGCAAAAAAATGGGTTTCATTTGCTCCATGGAATTTAATAAAATTATTGATATTGTAAGAGGCATTGTTACAGTCCTTTAAAAAAAATTATTGGGAAAAAAATGGTTTTACAATTTCTATCATCCAATGTCAAATAAACTCTGCATTAGGCCTACTTTAATTATTCATTGAAAGATGCCTTATTTTTTTGTAACTGATGTCCCTTGAAAAGTTAACTAACCAATGCCACGCACTCACCTAACACTACAGCTTTGCAACACCCAACAAGAGTGTGTATACATGTATTTGCCCAAGTCCTGCAGTATCCCTGCTACAGATCTGCAAGCACGGCCGTCGTGGTCTAGCCCTGTGTATGTGTACATTTGCGCCGGCAATCCCTACAGATCTTCCTGTCGGCTTGCTTTGATTCAAAGCGGCCTGTCTATTTGCAGACACCCCCCCCCCAACTGCGACAAAAGGTCCCCTTGCCGCTTGTTATGTGTGTACTGCGTGCTTGCCTAGGCTCTTAAAAATCTGTGTCCACACCGTATACATGCCTACACCTAAGTAACGGAGATCATTGGATGTTCCAATGTTTCAAACCAACAACACATTCTGTTCACGAGAAATTGTCACCTGTGCTACTAATGGCTGCTTAGGTACGCTTTTTGTAAAGTGTAAAAAATAATTCAAAACAGGATAATCTGGGGTAGAAGTAGAAGTCAAACAGACCAAGTTGCGGTGGTATTCGGTGCCTCGTTTAGGAAATTTCTAGCCGATGGTCGACAGTCAGTCAGTGTTTTTAAAAAGACATAAAATTATATTTTGATGATATATTTTCGAGTAGCAAGATAATACCCTAACGTCTGTAAAACTGTAAGCATATTTGTTAGGAACCCACCTGAATCCTCAAAAATCCACCAAAATCCATCACTTTGCAGCAAATTAGTGGAACAAACTATGAACTCGCAAAGCTTTATAGGGCATCAAGTTCCATGTAGTGTAATTGTAGCTAGTGCTTGTATGTGCCTGCTTCAATCATGCAAAATCCTCCAAATAAACCTTCCAATTGATTTCAAAGGATTTTGAAGGACTGGGGTTAATTATCCTCTCTTCTTCCCATATTTTTTAACCAAAGTGAACAAACCTTTAGAAAATAAATGCGATTAAATAAGCGAGATTAGGGGAGGGGTGGAGGGAGAGGGGGAGAGGGTCTGTAACCGCATTCTAACTGTTCCAAGATACTCCCCATGGTTGTCCTAATCTTCGCCAGCTTTTCTTAAGTTCGCCAATAGAAATCTTGGGTTCCTAAGTTGGTGTCTAAAATCCACAATGAATTGCAAACCTTCCTGACTTTTATAGCACCTCTAGTACGTATGTTGCCTTTGTCGCCAGTTTCAGAAAGACGTGGCTTTAGATTTGAGCTTTTCAGGAGATTTGCCATGCAGCTTTTATGGCCATGCCCAATTGCCTATCCAGGATCTTTTGTAGTGCTTTTGAATGAGGTCCAACTTTGCTGGGATTAGTGTGGTACTGCACCCCTATGTTGACCCGCAGCCGCTGCACACACTAGATGTGGTAGGGAACTCGCATAAACGTACACTGTAAATGTTAAAATTAGATTTCTTCAATCTTTCTTATCCCGTGGATCTAATATCAACTGATTAACCAACTGTCTGCCTATGTACTTTTCTGTTTTAGCCTCTGAAGAAGAACTTGCTAAGTTCGCAACGTCAGGCCACATTAATTTTAAGATTTATGTACTTTTCCGTCAGACAGTTGTTTAATTATTTTCAATACTTTGCTCTCAGTGCTCATTAAAAATGCAAAACAACCCTGAACAGTCTTCTTTGTTTCCATACACGTCATCACACTTGACCTGCATAGTGCATGCAAATGGTGCAACTGATGAGTCTGTACTAAGATCCAAGAATCGTTTACTCAGTGCCATCAATGGAGTCCTTCTTTAGAAATTCTGCATGAACCCAGTTTTTAAAACATTCTATATCAACAAAACCTTTTATAAAATATATAAATACCTCATAACCTATATTTGTCCAAATATCTTTACTAACGCTACATTGATAATATTTTTCAGAACAAACTAGAAAATTTTGCTGCAGTTTGACGCCGCATATATTGACCCATGTAGTCCGAGCCACAAGGACAAATCCAGATGGAATAATTTCTTTTCCTTGACACAGTGCTCTCAAGATGGTCGTCTTTTGTTCGTTAAAGCGTCGTAATCTACCAGCAGCCATTAAGTCTCAGCTTCTTAATGGACTCTGAATCCTTCTCCTGTCTCATATTCTGATGAATGAAGGAGGAAATAATCAATGCTCCTTACAGGTCATCAGAGAGATATATTACAGTCGCAGAGGAGA